AGACAGATCCTTGGTGCAGCTGTACATATCCAGACCTGGACAGGACCCTGGGCCCTGGAAAGGGACTACTAAAGAATTTGAGTTCATGCCTATCTTAGCACTCTAACCTCCAAGGAAGAAGGAGGAACAATGGGCCTGGGCTCTGAAGCTAGATGGCCTGAGTTCAAATCCTTGGGCACATCAACTCCTGAGTCTTCATTGCTCCAAGGGTAATGAAACTCAGGTTAAGGGCCTTTGGAGCCAGATGGCCAGGGCTTAAATCCTGGCTCCTTATATTGGCTGGGTGACCTTAGGACAAATTACTTAATATCCTTGTATCTATTTTCTCAGGGCCTTGGACTTGCTCAGCTAGTGTGGAGCCCTCAGCCGTCCCTGTTTCTATTTTCTCTTCTATAAAATGGAGAATAAAAATAATATCTACCTCTTCCAGCTATAGTGAAGAATATGTGGTGCAGGGTGCTGATGGCTCACACCTGTAATCCTAGCTACCCGAGAGGCTGAGACCTGAGGATCACGGGAAAGTCCATGAGACTCTTATCTCCAATTAACCACCAGAAAATGGGAAGTGGCGCTGTGGTTCAAGTGGTAGAGCATTCACCTTGAGCTGAAGAGCTGAGGGACAGCGCCCAGGCCCAGAGTTCAAGCCCCATGACCAACAACAACAAAAAAGAATGTGTGAGTTAATAACTCATGTGTTCAGCAAAGACTAATTTATTGTTCATGAGTTACGTGATTAAATGAAAGAATGTACACACTAATGCTTTTTCCTATGATCCTATTGGCCTAGATGCAGCAAGCCCTTAGCAGGCCGTTTCTGGTCTTTTTTAAAGGCCTTTGATGATAATCCCATCACCCTCTCAATATTAACTTCTTTCTACTGTCCTGAATCAGAACTTGGGCATTCACTTTCAAAGGTGTTTGTTTCAGCTCACTGTAACTGAATACTACAACATGTCTGTGGTCTGAAGCTGGAGGTTTCCTCTCTTACCATGAAGGACTGCTGTGCAGTGTAAATGAGATAGCAAGCATGACTCTGATCAATGTTAGATGAATATGATTTTGTAATATGTCAGAGTATGCATAAAGGCAGGGTCTAGCCATGCCTTCTTGTTCTTCTTTGTGCTCTCCAAAGACTAGAATCAGGCCTCCAACATAATGGAAGTGTGTAGATCTTTTCCATATAGCTTGTCACTGGATCAAGGGACAATACATGATCCCTGGCCTTGAGGAGCTCCTAGCCAGGGAACACAAAACCAATCAACAAGCTGGTTATAATGAATTCTCACTGTGTGTATGTATGTATGCATGTATATGTTATGTAGATAGGTAGGTAGGTATGTCAGTAGTGGGGCTTGAACTCAGGAACTGGGTGGTTTCCCTGAGCTTCTTTGCTCAAGGCCAGCATTCTACCATTTGAGCCAAACCTCTCTTTGCTGGTTAACTGGAGACAGGAGTCTTATTTTCATACCTGGGCTGGCTTGCTTAAACTTCAAACTCAGATCACTTGAATAGCTATAATTACATACATGAGCCATGGGTGTCTAGCTTTATAATAAATTCTTTATGAGGGCAAAAAGATCAGAGAGAATGCTATGGCATTTCAAAGTAGGAAAATATCACTTCCACTTGAGGATTCCAGGATTCTTGCTGATTGGGGAGAGGATATTGGGGGGGGGGGGCGGGGGGAGAGGGGATGGGAACGTGTAAGCTGAGTTTTGAAGGGTACATTCACCTTTGAACTGGTAGAGAGTTTAGAGGCAATGGAAACAATAGGAGCAAAGATGAAACTTCACTGAATTTTTGTTCCCTTTGTAGCATGACTGAGGGGCCAGAGAGGACCTGGGTTTGAATTCCTAACTTACCAAGTCAAATCTCATGGCAGATGGCATACTCTAGGAGGTTGGAGGCCTGAGCTGCAGTCCCACCTCTGTAGGCACTGCACTCTATGAAGTGGAGCAGGACCCATCTCCCCTTATACAATGAGGATCAAGTGATTTCTAAGGGTCCTGAAGCTCTGACACCTTTGGATACCTGATGTCATCTTTTCCATTACATTTTTAATTAGCACCTCCTGCCTCCTGGCCCAGACCTCCCATGGAGAGGCAGGACAACAGAGCTCTCACTAAATCCATCCTTTTCCTGGATTTTACCTTCCAACCAGGAAGCGGAAAAGCAGGATTTCCTGTTGAGGATGTTCTCTATAACCCAGACAGTTCCTGCTAGGGGAATGGAGGGGGGTGATGGGGTGATAGAGAGCATCTGGCCTTCATACCCTCCAACACCCTTTTTGTGAGTTTTATACTTTATTGACAAGTTCTTTAAAAAATGGGGCAAGTCCAAGAAATGGAATCATGGATTTTTATCGGTGGTGGTGGTGGTGCTTTTTTTTTTTTTTGGGCGGGGGTAATAAGGGGAGCATACAGAAAGGGAGAGGGGAAGGGCTAACAAATAAAATCATGCTATTTAGTATATACTATGTGGAAAATGACATGCAACTTGTGGGCAGGAGAGGGAAGCTGGAATAGAGTGAAGGGGTGAGATCCAAAAAAAAGAAATGTACTCATTACCTGACTTATAAAATGGTAACCCCTCTGTACAACATCTTTAATAACAAAATTATATTTTTAAATATGGAGAATGCCTAATTCAGAGCTGGAGAAAGATTTGCTGCAGGGATATATCCCTTCAGGCGAACAGGATTACTCAATGTTATAATGGAGGAAATGGAATTCCCTTTTTCCCTTCTCCATGGTGAAGTATGCTAACCATTATAAAAAGGAAGGAAAAGTTTTCCTCACTTACACACCTGTGAAAAACTTTCAAGATCTTTAATAGTATAACTCTAACACTGTCTCCTGCCGGAAATCCTTTCTCCTCCTGGACTTTCAAGCCTTTGCTCATGCTCTATTTCTTAACATTATGTACAATCACAGTGCATCAGAGTCACACAGGAGTAACCCTTTACCTCCAAGAGTAGGAAACTAAAGCCAGTGACTTGTCCTAATTCCTAAATTAATAGTCCTTTCTACTAGCATATTTTTGTTCCCAATCTTGGTTCCCTGCTCTATCAACTTTACCAGATCTCCATGCTTTCACAGCTCTTCCTTTAATCAATAATATATCCTGATCCCCTTCTCTTTCCTATTGCTTCCAAGGATTCAGGAAAAAATGTGACCATGTTTCTAGAACATTCTCAAAATAATTTCCTCCCCAATTCCTCTTATACTCTTACATCTTACCTGACTGTATTGCATATTTTTTCCAACTTTAGGTTGAGTTCCTATAAAGCATGGTTATTTCCCTTATGTCCAACATCTAGTTCAGGGCCTAGCTTGCTCAACATGATACAACTGTTGAATAACAAGGTTATAATAATGTGCTGAGGTGAGGAGCTAAGGTGAAAGGAGTGGTTGCCACTGGGACAGACCCTGTGGAAGGTGGGACACACTGCTGGTGTACTGGTGAACAGTTGTGCTTGACTTTGGCTTGGTGATAACATGGTATTTTCTTTACCTGTAAAGTCTGCTATGAATTTCAGTAGGGATTTGCTGTGAGAACTGTACGAACAAGTATGTAGGAAAGCACTTTGAGAAGTGTGCAACAATCTATAAGTCTAACTTATACTGCAGGTGTAAAGGCTACTCACATCACCTCAAGGGCTAGGAAAAGTTCTGCCCTTATAAACAATGCCTAGTGAAGGTGCAGAAACTGTTCCTCTAGCTTCCTGGAGTCCTTAAGTCAGTGTGTTTGCTACCAGGTAGTCATTGAAGTAAACCCTTGAATACTATCTGGGGGGTGGGGGTGCAGGGGTGGCTCCTTCAGGATGCATGAGCAAATAATGAAAGTACATCTGTGAATAATGATAACAAAATGCAACTCATTGAAAGCTATTGGGTAAAAGGGGCAGTGGGGCAGTACTATAAATGAAGGTGTGAAATACCTTTGAATAATTAGCAAATGTTAAAAACAATAAATGACAGGGAAGTTATACAGGTCCTTGTGTAGGATATAGGAATTAGAGGCAGTAAGGGCAAATGGAGAGGGTAAAGGTCAAAATATTCGATGTACATGTGTGAAGACAAAACAAATAGAGGCAGATGAGGTTGGTTTAGGAAGACGAGCATGATGGGAAGTGTCTGATCAAGGTACACTGTACATATGTATAGACATGTCAAAATTAAACAACTGATAGTAATTTAAAAATGTGAGGCAATGACAGGTGCCAGTGGCTCATGCCTGTAATCCTAGCTACTCAGGAGGCTGAGATCTGAAGATCGCAGTTCGAAGCCAGTCCGGGCAGGAAAGTCCACAAGACTTTTATCTCCAATTAACCACCAGAAAATCAGAAGTGACACTGTGGCTCAAGTGGTAGAAACGCTTGCCTTGAGCCAAAGAGCTGAGGGACAGCACCCAGGCCCAGAGTTCAAGCCCCACAACCAATTAAAAAAAAAGTGACACAAAAGGAGAGTAGTTGTGTGACTGTAAGGTGGTAAAATTTCACATATATGTAAAAGTGATGAATGTAAAAACTTGTGAGCAGAGGACCTACCACAGTGTAAATGTGCAAGGCTCTTGGGTTCAATCTCCAGCCTTCTGCAAGATGCTTGCTAATGTCAATTTCTTGGTTTTGAAATGTACTATATTGTGTAAAGTATTATCAGGGAAGGCACTGTGTAAAGAGCATACCTGAACCAGCTAGAGGAGTGCATGTGTCTGTACTCCCCACATTCAGGAGGCAGAAGCAGAGGATCTCAAGTTTGGAGCCAGCCTGGGCTATGTAATGAGATCAACCTTGAACTCAGTGGTAGCTCAGTAGTAGAGCACTTATTTAGCATGCATAAGGCCCTGGGTTTAATCTTCAGCATCAGAGAAGAGTGTATGAACTTATATATATATACACACACACACACACACACACACACACATATATATATATATATATTAATCTTTGTGGCAGCTGAAAAAAAGGATAAATTATAGCAGAGGAAAAAAACGACGAGTCCATGTAGATATTTTTATTCAGTTCTATTAAAAAAAAATAAGACATTTGAAAAAAACATTTACAAAAGGTACTTTAATTCAATTATTTTCCTATTCTGTGACAGTTAGTGCTATAGGTTCAAGATGTTACATTAACATCAACACATCAGACTGAAAAAATTTTATTTCCACAGAGTTTAACACTACACATCCTAATTAAGAGGAAACTCTTCCATCAAGGTCTCAAGTTATTTTAAAAAATAACTTTCCCCTTACACTCAAGAAGGATTGATTTTGCTAATTCAGCTGAGATCATGATAACTTGGTGTTGTGTTACTGGTACAGGGTAGATCCAGAGATGCAAGAAGCTAGCAAAGCAGACTTCTTAAAACACAGCATAAAATAATACTTCAGATTCAGACTAAGAGCTGAGTAGCATCTGTTTACCTTCATATGCTTAAATAACTGATCTTGAGAGCTTTTATTTTTTTTTCAGGTTTCAGTGATGCTGAGAAGCCCTACTTGAACAAGAACTTGGCTTTCCTATAAGCCAGTCATCCTACATCAAGTCACTTGTTCAGCAATTTGTAGTTGACTGCTGCCAAGAACAGATGGACTCCTTCAATGATTAGGGATCCCCAAGCTACAAGGCTTTGTCTTCAGGTATAGAGATATCCAATCCTCATCAGTAGGGAGGAGTCAAAGATTTAAAATAATTTTGGCAATTGCCTAAGACGCTTTACATCTAAAAAGGTGCCTACTGAATTTATGCTATTCATTTGCTTCAAAGTTTCAGAGGGTTGCAAGCTTTCAGGAAAAACAAGACCGTCCTTTTCATTTTCTTTCTCAGGATGTTGAGTAAACTCTGCTTTTCCAGATCGTAAGTTCACTGCAGGGCTTAGTTTAAGGTTCTTTAATAAGAAAGCTGGGTTTCCATTTAAATGCTGTGTTCCTTTTGGCCGTACAACTTCATTTGTAATATTTCTCAACACTGTATGTGTATCCTCGAATTCACAGTCATAACAATTAGGTATTTCATGGGCATTCCTAGGAGGGTCTTTCTGATAACCAATTTGTATAGGTATGGATGCAGCATTCTGAGCTGATAAATGGTCGCCCTTGCTGTCTATGTGGTTGGAAGGCTCCTCTTCGTCCTCACTATTGTCACTGCTTTGTATTAGTCCATATCGCTTCATGTATTTTTTTGTTGCAAATGACATGTTGTTTGGTGAAATTAAGCTAAGACCCACAGTGCTTCTGTCTGCATTAATATGTAGAAGGCTAAAAGATGAGTCACAGTTATTTGGGTTTGATCGAGTGAGAGACAGTTGTGAGAGCTGATTTTCATTTAAATATTTCAGAGCTATAGCATTTGCCTCCATGCTCAAATCCACCCCAGTGGGGCTTACACCACTCATGCCAACATTAGCAAATGACATGTAGTTTAATCCAGAGATCACTGCTTCTGGGCTGATGCATGCCAGCACACTGAAAGACACAAATTAGTAAATCATCTTTTATCTTATTCTGAGTAATAAGAATTTCATTCTAAATATGTTTCATTCTGTGAAGGTAACAAAGGGTTTCAGCCTTAAGCTCATGGTGCTTCTTATCTGAGTACTCAGACATTAAAGTCTTGATGATCCAGATATAAATTCAAGGAATAAGTAGAATAATGTGGAAGGCAATCTATGATTCACAGATTGAAAGTGAAATACAAACCTATTTGCATATACATATATATATATATACACACACACACACGCATATATGGTTTATAAACAAATACAATGCTCCAACTCTCAGGCATTTAATACTACTGTGTCACTTAATTTTCAACTATTAATCCTGAAACAGCATAATATTTCAATGTAAAGTAAAATCAATCACAAAAAACATCTAATGATCCAAAAGTATAAGCACTGGTAAACTGCACAGAAAATGATACCATAATTATGATTCCAGCACGTGGAGGTTAGGGTCAGGAGGATTTTGACTCCAGGCTACCCTGAGCGGATAGCTACACCTTGTCTTGAGCTCTACCTCTAGCCCAGACATTGTCATTAAATAAAAGATTAAAAAAAAAATTTCTTGTGTTGGTGTAAGAACAGAAGGAAAGATATTATATGAAAAAATAAATTAAAAAAAGACCATGTGTCCAAACAACCGATCAATCAAAGTAATTGTTCATAGTTGAAGAGATTTCATTTGTAATAATGAAAGGCCTGCGCGTGCATGTGCACATGTGCACACACAGCCCATTTTGGCTGATTTGTCTTTTCCTTTATGTCATGTATAAATTCACAACAGCTGCCAGTTCTCATTGAGTCCTTACATGTGCCAGTCATTCTGCTAAAGCTGTATGTGCATTAGTGTACTTCTTCCTTACAGTAAGCTTTCTCAAAGAAGTACGGCCTATCTATTTTGACCTTATTGCCTCCACCACTTCGGTTTAGTCTCCTCATTCTTTTCTTCAACACTTCCTATTCCCTTCCCCTTATTTTTCCTTAGCATTGATTGCTATCTATATATCCAGTACACATGTCTAATTCCCTCCTACGAGCCAAACAAGGAAGGACGTCTATCTGCTTTCCCCTATTGAATTATCTTCAGTGCCTGCCACACAATAGGCATGTATTTGGTAAATATTGAAAAAAAAGTGAGTACAATTATTATTTTTAAGTTGAGGAGACTGAGGAATAGATTTTAACCATTTCTCCAAAGATGAAGAGTAGTAAGTGGCCAGCAGAAACTGAGCCTACACCTGCCATCTTGCTGGGGGTTCTGTAACCACTCTGTATTTAGCATATTACATTTTGCAAGATGCAGAGTCTTTCGTGACTACTTGTGACATTATATTCTAGTCAAAGAATATTCTATGATTTTCTATATCATACCATAAAGAGCCTGAGCTATTTTACATGTACTATCAACAGCCTACATCTAAAGCCCCACAAAAAAGTTCAATACATACCAGTTATTTTCATTCTTATGAACACCTGAAATTTGGAAGAAGAAATTCCCAACAATTACTCTCTCCTGATACCAAATAATCCAAAAGTGTGCTCAATAGTATTAGGTTTTGTATGTAGTTCCTTTAATCTTCTTGGTACTTAATGGCTTGGGGACTACTTCAGATGTTCCCAATTTAGGTAGCCATTATTATTATTTTTTTTTAGTTTTAATTTTTTGTGAACATACTGTACAGAGGGGTTACAATTACATGGGCAAGATACTCATCCAGCATGTATTTATTGATCACCTATTATGTGGCAGAGCCTGTGTCAAGCGAGGGTGATCTACATGGCACTTGCTCTGAACTTAGAGAACTGTACATTTGAAGAAAAGACCGATAAATCATTAACATAATAACAGGTTTTAGTTAATATCATAATTTCTGATTATGTTACCATAACATGGGAAATTATAGAACAATATTGTTAGAGCAATGATATAAATATACCAGCAGGAAGATTTGAGGATCAAGGAATCAGAAAGGGAAAGTCTGAGCTAAAAGGTAGTGAAAGCAGTGAAATTCCTGAAGGAGCCAGGTGCTGGTGACTCACACCTGTAATCCTAGTTACTCAGGAGGCTGAGATCTGAGTCTATGTGATATCCTACCAGTCTAGCTAGCCTGCAGTAAGCATTGCTTTAGATTGGTTTAGCTAGCGTCTTCCTCACCCCCAGTGTCTTGTAAATACCAGCTCCATGGCTAATAGGTAGCCATTATTTTTAAAAATAATGTTATTATTATTTTTTGGCAATACTGAGCCTCAACATTGCTAAGGTAGGTGATTTGCCACTTGGGCATTTTTTGCTTTCATTACTTTTTTTTGGAAAAGGTCTTTCATTTTTGCCAGGGATGCCCCTAAAGTGAAATCTGCCTACCTATGCTGCCTAAGTAGTTGGAATACAGTTGTGTAAAACCACACCTGGTTTATTTGTTGAGATAGGGTCTTGGGAACTTTTTGTCCAGGCTGGCCTAGACCTGTGATCTACCTGATCTCTGCCTCCCAAGTAGTTGGCTTGTACTACCATGCCGAGCCATTTTTTGTTGTTGTTGTCTAAAGGATTTGACAAAACAGTATCAATCAAATTACTTCTTGTAAGTAACTTTCTACCTTAACTAAAAGAATCTAAAATGTGGAGATGATCTTATATTCATCCCATATATACTAGGCCCTATATAAATCATAATCAAATAATCTGAGGTACAAATTTATGCCTTTTCCCAGGAGCTTTCTACAATTTATCTAAAATCTATTCACTTTTTTTTTTTTTGGTCAGCTGGGGGCTTGACCTCAGGACCTGGGCTGTTCCTGAGTGCTTTTGTTCAAGGCTCCTGCTTTACCACTTTGAGCCACAGTGACACTTCCTTTTTTCTAGTGGTTAGTTGGAAGAGTCTCATGAACTTTACACCCCAGGTTGCCTTTGAATCATGATTCCAAGGTCTCAGCCTCCTGAGTAACTAGGATTACAGGCATGAGCCATCAGCACCTGGCTTCTATTCATTTTTGAAGCAAAATTTAACATTACCTGGCATGATCTACTTTATGTGCATTTTTCTTCACTTTAGTGGGAGAATCAATTTTTACTCCCAGGCTTCTTAGTTGTTTAAGAGTTGCATTAAGAACACAATCTTTGTCCACCAATCCTGAATTGTGATTCTTTGCATGATAAACATTTGGGGTTTTGGTACATTCATGGCTGATAACCACTGCTTTAGGAGATGGCTGCTCATTTTCATTTGAGGAGTTACTCAGTAAGTGGTTCACTTGACCCTGAGAAAAAGACAAAGGACATGTTTAAAAATCATTATCAATCTTAGGATAAACTGTTACATAATATACCATAATGAAGGGCTAGAGAAAGTAATGAGGTATTATCATCTCAATTTCACAAAATACATTTGCAAGTTTTTTTTTTCCTTTTTTCAAAGGATCACAGTTTGAGGTCAGTTCAGGCAAATCCTCAAAACTCCATCTCCAAAATAACTATCAAAAAGCAAGGCTTGAGTCATGGCTCAAATGACAGGAGGCCAGCTGATAGAACAAGCCAGCTGAACAATCTTGAGGCCCTGAGTTTAAATCCTGGTACCAAAACAGAGAAACAAACAAACAACACATTTTAACAGGCACAGTCATGGGCACATGTAATCCCAGATATTGAGAACTTGAGGCAAGAGAATTGTGAATTCACGGTTGGTCTGGGCTACATAATAAGACCCTGTTTCAAAAACAAGAGACAAAAAAAATTGCAAAACAAAAACCAAACCCAAATAACAAAATAGAACACCTATAAACTACAAACATCATGTTTAAAATTGTTTGAGTAATATTCCAAGTGTTTGCAAGGACTTATGCTAAGTTCCTTAAAAAGAAAAGTTTTGGAGTTTTTTGCCGGTTGGTCCTGGGGTTTGAACTTGGCTTGGGCACTGCTCCTGAGCTTCTTTGTGCTCAAGGCTAGTGCCACTTGAGTCACAGCAACATTTCGGCTTTTTCAGAATAGTTTATTGGAGATAAGAGTCTCAGATACTTTCCTGCCCTGGCTAGCTTTGAACTGTGAGCCTCAGATCTCAGCGTCCTGAGTAGCTAGGATTATAGGTATGAGCCACCAGTGCCTAGCTAAAAACTGAAGTTTTAAACTATGATTTTAGTCACAAAATGGCAGCTAAATGTTAGACCTTCATGGGGCTAGGAATGTGCTTTAGTAGTAAAGTGCTTGCCTAGCATGTATGAAGCCCTAGGTTCATTCCTCAGTACCACAGAAACAGAAAATGCTGGAAGTGACGCTGTAGCTCAAGTAGTAGAGTGCTAGCCTTGAGTAAAAGAAGTTCAGGGACAGTGCCCAAGCCCTGAGTTCAAGCCCCAGGACTGGCAAAAAAAAGTAAAATAAATAAATAAATAAATAAAAATTAGACCCTTAGGTTAGTTTTAGGATTTGACTCCTTCCTCTGTTCATTTTCTAAAAATCAGAATGACCTGTGATACTGTGTGATACTGTCTGTGTGTTCCTGAGACTAGAGTGCATTTTACTCAGTGAGCATATAGGACTAACCCCTGTCTAGGACCCAACAGGCAAATAATAAATAAATATGGGTTCACTGGTGACTTGAAAGGACCTTACAATGAAGGATGTTTAATCAATACAAATAGGGAAACCCAGTATTCCAAAACCAACAATTTGGACAGAAGCGACAATCAGCATCATTTCAACCTTCAAACTCCAGCTTAAATTCTAAGTTTTCCAAGGCCAAATACTTGTACAACTACTCCTTCTAGAATAATGGAATAATTAATGCTTGCCCTGAAATAGCACATAGAAGATCTGGCCTGAATGTTTATTAATAGACAACTGGGGTTTGATATATCATATATGGGTAGAACAGAACATTACGCATAGAATTCATTCTGTGCTCTTTGTGTTATGTGCTTCACCTGTCAAATGCTGGCTAGTCTTGCCTGTGTTATTTCCCTCCTCCCCCACCTCATGGTATCATACTCCGAGATTATATATTCATCCTTACATTATTTACTTAGTCCCCTTTTTTAAGACTAAATTAAATTTTAATAAATACCTGCATACCTGAAAATAAAATGACCAAATAGTACCAAAAACATCCTACTACTTTCCAATTTTAAAACTTTAAATAAATTGTTGCTGGCTTCTTTCTGTATAAATGTCAGTATAAATGTGATGTAATACCAGCATTTATATTCTAAAATTAAAGCTGATTTATTCTGGCAGAGTACCTGATGACTGGCAGGTATACAGTAAACGACTAAATTTATCACAGTTTATGAAAACCTAAAGGAAATAAATGATTGTTAACTAGTTAAAAAAATCTTCCTACCTCTAATTTGTATCCCCTATATTAAATAACCATTTCGCAAAAGATGACATGCTCTGCATTTCTTACCAACAAGTCCTGGTAAATTTTCTGGTTATCTGTTAGTTGTGGAGGCAATGTATGCATCACCTGCTCACTTTTCGGTCTCCCCAACATTGCAGTTGCAGTGTTGTCGCTGGCACCCTCTGCTGGTCCAGTGTGTAAGCACATGCTCACGCTCTCAGCCAGCAAAGCATTTGGGAAGAATACAGGCACATCGGGTTCTTTGGTTACCTCTGAAGAGCTGCTTAGAAGAATTTAAAAAGTAAATGTTAACTGTGTATTTTTTTTTTTTTTTGGGTCTGGTCATGGGGCTTGAACTCTGGACCTGGGTGCTGTCCTTAAGCTCTTCAGCTCAAGGTAAGTGCTCTACCACTTGAGAGCCACAGTGCCACTTCAGGTTTTCTGAGTGGTTTATTGGAGATGAGTCTCACGGACTTCTTCCTGCCCGGCTGGCTTTGAACTGGGTCCTCAGATCTCAGCCTTCTGAGTAGCTAGAATTACAGGAGTGAGCCACCGGCGCCCGGCTTTTAACTGTGTATTTTTAACACATCTTTCAAATGTAACTTTCAAAGAAAGGGCTAAGACTCAAGCAGCATATGGTTTCTATTTCAGTTCTTCCGTTTTGTTTTTTTTTACCTCTAAATAGCTGTACAAACAGGTTTCAATTCAACATGTCAGCTTATGAGTATGATGCCTCTGATTAGTGTTACCCCTTCTTTCGTTCTTCCCCAACTCTCCCACCCCCACCTACCCTCTTTGTTGCCAAGTTTCATTTTCATATATGAACACTGAATATTTGATTGTTTTCACCTATTCTTCCTCTCTCCATTAGTCTGGCCTTCCCTCCTCTTGACTCTACCTCCCCCCAACACATATGCCAGTTTCCTGGTTATTTTCAGTTCTTGAGTGATGTATATAAATATATCATCTTGATAGGAAGCATATAACTGTTTTTTGTAGGATGATGGGCTTGAATTAAGGGCCTGAGTATTGTCCCTGAGCTTTTTTTGTTCAAGGATAATGGTCTACCACTTTGAGCCACAGCTCCACTTCCATTTTTTTAGTTAACTGGTTAAGAGTCTCACAGACTTTCCTGCCTGGGCTACCTTTGAACTTCGATCCTCCTGAGTAGTTAGGATTACCGGTGTAAGCCACCAGAAACTTAGCTCACTGTTTTTAATATGTTTAAGAAAAGTATCTTTAAAGGTTGGAGAACAACCTATTTCTTCTAAACCTGATGTAATGAAAACATTTAAAACTTAAAATATATTATTTGTTTACCTCAAGTTTTAAAATAATAAAGATCCTTATCAAATAAAAGTTCAGAAGGTGCTATTTATAACTATGTTTTACACGTGGTGGTATTTCTTTTCTTCTTTATCCTTTGATGTATTCCTTTCAATTTTATACAATGAGCATTTATTACTTTAAAAAATTTTAAATACATATTTAAAAATAACTAGGGAAAGTATTTCCTTTTAAACATTTTTATTAGCATACACTAATTGTACAAAGGGGTTTCACTGTGGTATTTTCATACATGATATAATGTGCTTTGAAAAAAAACATTATTTCTTGAGGCTGGGTAGAGCACTTGCCTAGTATGTACAAGTACCAGGGTTTGATCCCTAACAATACAAAACAAAACAAATCTCTTATTAGAACAGTAATCTTTGGCTACTGTAGGAACCTCTTTGTACAAATAATACATCTTAAAAAAAAGCAAAAACAAAAAGGACAGAATCATAAATAATTAAAACAGGCTATGGTAGGGGGCAGGTGCCAGCAGGATGGGTGAGGGGCAATGAGAAGGATGACTATAGTTGAAGTACAAACTTGTAATTATTTTAAGAAAGTGGGAGAAGCAGCCAGGTGCTGGTGGCTCATACCTGTAATCCTAGCTACTCAGGAGGCTGAGATCTGAGGATCATGGTTCAATGCCAGCCCAGGCAGGAAAGTCCATGAGACTCTTATCTGTAATTAACCCCCAGAAAACCAGAAGTAGAGCTGTGGCTAAAAGTGGTAGAGTGCTAGCCTTGAAAGAGCTCAGGGACAGTACCCAGGCCCTAAGTTCAAGTCCCACAATAGGCCAAACCAAAAAGAAGAAGAAGAAAAAAAAAAAGAAAGTGGGAGAAGGAAGAGAGAGAGAGGTAGGGGTAAGAAATGCAGTTTCCAAGCCAGGTGTGATAATGTGTATAATCTGGCATTTAGGAGGCTGAGGAGGATTGAGAGTTCAAAGCTACCCCATCTCAAAAAGGGGGGAAAAAGTGAGAAAAGCAATAATAAGTATTGGTAGAAGTGTTATTATGGGCTAGGCATTGTTTCATCTTACATGAGATAGATTTACTATTCCCATTTGACATATAGAAACATTGAGTCACAAGAGTAGCTAACTAATATGCACCAAGTTATAGCAAACTTGAAGAAAATAAGTTACAGACAATTTAATATCTAACATTTTTCTTCTGATTTTATCAGTTTTAGAATCTGCTTTTCAAAACCTAATATTATATCCTATCTTCTCATTTTACTAAATATACTTTTATATATATATATATATATATATATATATATATATATATATATATAAATATAGACTAAATATGCATTTCTTTTGTTGGTGTTATTTTTTGATACAGAACTGAATTTGAATGCAGATCCTCAGGATTGTTAATTAGTCTTCAGGTAATGTGTTTTTGCCTGGCCTACTTTGGACTGCAGTTCTCCTATACCTATAACCTCACTTAAGATGGGACCATAGATATGTGTGATCACACTCTTATATCACTACACCCAGCTTTTTAAATGAGATAAGGTCTTGCTAACTTATCTAAGTTGGTCATGAACTGTGGATCCTTCAGATCCCTGCCTATGTACCAATGATTACACAGGCATGAGCTACTGGGCCTATCCAAAAACAAGTTTTAATCATTATATAGTATTTCCTTGTATAGTTACAGGATCATTTTTCTAACCGCAACTCTTTTTTGATTATTTCTAACATCGTATTTTGTTGTTCTGTTTTTGGTGCTGCACTTGGGGCTTGAACTTAGGGCCTAAGCTCTACTTCGAACATTTTGGTGGCTAATTGGAGATAAGTCTCACAGACTTTCTTGCCCAGGCTAACTACAAACAGTGATCCTCAGATCTCAGCCTCTGAGTAAGCTAGGCTTATAGGCATGAGCCATCATGACCAACGAATGAACTTTAAACATTTTGACCTCAAAAAGATTTCAACTGTGAAGTGCTAAAGTAGTTGATCAGCTTGATTTAATTACTCTATACTATAAATATACAAACATATAAAAATTACATTCTATTTCATAAACAATTATTATTTGTCAATTTAAAACAAAATGTAAAAAAAGGACTCAAAGACATCTTACTTGGATTCAGAAAGTGGCTCATTAAGTTCTTCTTCTATAGCAACACTGCTCTCTTCAAAACTGGGAATGTCAACTGCTTTTAGTGAAGATGCATTATCTGGAAGATTTGTGTCTTCATTAATCATATCAACAGAAAAATTCATATCCTCACTGGAAATCTTGGTATCATCTTGCTTCAGCCGAGAGTGTGGCTCTTGACCATCATCTGCTGCATTCCAAAATAAGCTAGCACCTGGGAATTAAATGATGTAACACACAAACAAAGGAGGAGGCTGCAATGCTTGGTAAGAAATGTATGCATTATCCTGACCATGTAATTGTAACCCCTCTGTACAGTATGTTCTCAAATAAAATAAAATAAAATTAAAAAAAAAATGATGTAACACACACTGAAACAAACATTCACCTATGAAAATAATAAACATGAAAACTACTAAAGCCAGCTATATGAGCAGCTATTCTATTTTAACACAATTGCTTATAACTGTTTTCATATTTTCCTCAGAAATGTCACAAACAGGTAGTGTAACAGACAAAACCTGGGGCACAGGGAATGGGTTCATTCTGAGTCCTGCTTCTTTAAGAGGAGTCTCTGATTTATATTTTAAGGTCCTGACAGCCAGGTATGGTGGTACACTTGAACTCCCAGCATTCATAAAGCTAGGCAAGAGGATTGAGAGTACAAGGCTAGCTTGGGCTATATATGGATTTCAATGGAAGTCCAAGCTACACAGCAAGACCATGTCTCAAAACAAAACAAAACAAAGGAGTAGAAAAAAATATACCAAGTAACAAGTCCCTAGGTTCTCTGGTTTTTATCTTAAAATGCTACATTAAAAAAACTATATTAGAGATGCACCAAATATGTCAGGTAAGTATTTATGAAATGTTTCAGCAGGGTGCCCAGTGGCTCACATTTATAATTCTTTTTTTTTTTTTTTAATTTTATTTTATTTTATTTGAGAACATACTGTACAGAGGGGTTACAATTACATGGGCAGGCACATTTATAATTCTAGCTAGTCAGGAGGCAGAGATCTGAGAATTGTAATTTGAAGCCATTCTGACTAGGAAAGACTGTGAAACTCGTTTCCACTAAACTCAAAAAAGCCAGAAGTGTCACTGTGTCTCAAATGGTAAAGTGCTACCCTTGAGCAAAAGCAGCTCAGGAATAGCGCTCAGATCCTGAGTTCAAGTCCCAGCGCGCACACACACACACACAGAAATGATTCCCAAACTTTATGGACTATTTGTACATATTTATAGGCCTTTCTTATATATTAGTTGCTTACTTTTTTTCATTAAATTATTATTATTATTATTATTTTGTTGGTCATGGAGTCTGAACTCTGGGCCTGGGCCCTGTCCCTCAGCTCTTCGCTCAAGGCTAGCGCTCTACCACTTGAGCCACAGTGCCATTTCCAGCTTTTTCTTATTATGTGGTGCTGAGGAATTGAACCCAGGGCCTCATGCATGCAAAGCAAGCACTCTACCACTGAGCTACCTTCCCAGCTCTCTCTCTTTTTTTTTTGTTGGTCATAGGGCTTGAACTCTGGGCCTGAGCTCTATCCCTAAGCTCTTCAATCAAGGTGAATGCTCTACCACTTGAGCCATAGCGCCACTTCCGGCTTTCTGGTGGTTAATTGGAGATAAAAGTCTCATAGACTTTTCCTGCCCGGGCAGGAAAAAGATAAAAACCAGAGAACCTAGGGACTTGTTACTTGGTATATTTTTTTGAACTGAGACCCTCAGATCTCAGCCTCCTGAGTAGCTAGGATTACAGGCGTGTGCCACCAGCACCTGGCTAAATTAATTCGTTTTATTTTTACCTTATCTGATCCTTCTTTGTGAAATCATAGACTTGATATTACCCCAAATTCTCTTTTGAACCATGAGTTATCTGCATGCTATACTTTGGGAAATAATAGTATATACATAATTGTTGAAAGAAATGGTTAAAAATGTTTTTAAAGCTTCTTTTATTTCTTTTTTCTTTTCTTCACCCTTGCCCTTGGGACAGGGTCCTAGGCTACAAATCCTCAAACTTCCTGCCTCAGTCTCCTGAATGCAGAGATTATAAGTATGTGGTATGCACCATACCAGCCTTTTAAACAATTGTTTATACTTTGGAGATTTACTTTTGTGAATTTATTTTTAAAAAATTAATGAAAGCAAGATTTAACTTTGTATTTATTATTTTTTCTTTCTTTTTTTTTTTTTGGGTCCGGTCGTGGGGCCTGAACTCTGGGCCTGGGCGCTGTCCCTCAGCTCTTCAGCTCAAGGCTAGTGCTCTACCACTTGAGCCGTAACGCCACTTCCGGCTTTTTTCTTTTTGCTTATGTGGTGCTGAGGAATTGAACCCAGGGCCTCTAGCATGCAAGGCAAGTGCTCTACCACTGAGCCACCTTCCCAGCCCTATTATTTTTTCTTAAAAAACAAATTTGAAAAGTTACATTGGTCCTGCCTACTATTCCTGACTTTCTTTGTATATATACATACAGATACATACATTTATGGAGACAAGAATATGTAGAACTGATGTACTTCTCTAATAAACATTATTTCAAGTAACTATTAATTTTTACTGGGATGCTACTGAATTATGCCTATAATCCTAGCTATTCAGGAAGGTGAGACCTGGAAGATTGAGTTTTGAAGCTGGCCCCAGCAGTAAAATCCAAAAGACTCTATCTCCACTAACCAACAAAATGCTAGACTAGCAAGAAAGCCAAGAAAGAGCTCTGGGCCCTGAGTTCAAGCCTAGGGACTAGCACCAAAAGAAATCTGAACAAATAAAAAAATAATTTTTATATGAACAACTCTGAATGTTAATAGACAACATTTTCAAATTTTTAAACTCTGTATTTGTTTGAAACCTTGTCCTCAATCTCAGAATATCATTCAAACATGAGTCAACACCTTTGGTGTATGAGTAAGCCAGAATCCAGATCTCAAAATCTTATAGTCTCGTGATGGACATGTATGAGAAAGTTTAATACAGTAAACACAGAATTAAAAAATTTTTAATGGGTGGTCTGGGAAGGTGGCTCAGTGGTAGAGCGCTTGCCTTGCATGCCTGAGACCCTGGGCTTGATTCCTCAGTACCACATAAGCAAAAAGAAAAAAGCCGGAAGTGGCACTGTGGCTCAAGTGGTAGAGCACTAGCCTTGAGCTGAAGAGCTGAGGGACAGTGCACAGACCCAGAGTTCAGGCCCCACAACTGGACCCCCCCCCAAAAAAATTTTTTTTAATGGCACACAGAAAAATACTCCACTTTTTGTATGTTTACTTAGCTCACAGTACCCACAAGTTCCTGTAATACTACCTCTCCAAAACACAAATGCATGCAGGCATAGTTTCCCTAAGAACTGTTGCCTTTGCAATGAACAAAGATGGGACTCTAACAGATAAATTCCTGTTTCTCAATATCCTTTCCACTAAACCAGTGGTAATCTAACATGCAAACTCTAGGTCTGCCACATTTTAAAATATATAGCAGTGAAGCCAGATTACAGATAAAAATGGGTGAAAAAGCCAAGTAGAGTCCTACTGGTAGCATAATTTCTAGCTGTACTCTTTTCCTAATGTCCTATGTTATTTACAGTCAAAGAATTTTCACTAATACTAAATAGTACCCGTGACTTAAAAATAGGCATCTCTCCCTTGTTGCTCCCCTCAATATAATAGCTTAGGAAACAAGTAGGTTCAAGACCAGTAGAAATTTTTGTTCTTATATTCTCTCTTAAATGTTTATTCTGGGGGTTAGAGGTGTGGCTCCGTTGATGAGAATTCCAGCCAATAAGGGAAAGCATCAGGCACTGAGTACTCAGATAAAAACAAAGCTTATTCTGTCACTTCAATTCATCATTTGTTGTTTCTGCCAGTCCTTTATCAATCATCTCACACTCCATTTCATGACTTTTAAGAATAATGACATTTCCCATAGTAGCCCAGTCTCTGGATTTTTAAAATTGATCTCCATATTCTCTTCTGTACTTCTCTAACTTCTTTTTAACGCTACTAGCATTAGTCAACTTAATTTTGGAATAATTCTAGACTTACAATAAAGAATAAAGTTCCTGTACACCCTAACCTAATTTTCCTTGTTGTTAACATCTTTTTTTTTGGTTGGTCATGGGGCTTGAACTCTGGACCTGGGTACTGTCCCTCTGCACTTCAGCTCAAGGTTAGTGCTCTACCACTTAAGCCATAGTGCCTCTTCCTGTTGTTAACATATTACCAATATCTATATTTGCCAAAATTAAGAAGCTAACATTGGTACATTACTATCAAATTAAAACTCCAAGCTTTATTTGGATTCCATCAATTTTTCAACTAATGACCTTTTCCTTTTTCAGGATCCAATCTAGGCCATCACATTGTGTTCTGCCAGAATAATTTTTCAGTTCTCAATCTTCAATTGCTTCATCCAATTAGTTATCAAATCTTATCAGTGGCTTACATGGCCTTTTATACTACATGATTTTTCCTCCTAATTCTTCTCCTAATTCCTTTCCTCCTCTCCTTCTCTTTTCTGTCAGTCACATTTTAAAATATAAAGCAGTGAAGCCAGACTCAAGAAAAAGCATATTTACAAACATGAAATACTCATCTGTATACTATTTCAAATTCCCTGCTCTTTTCTCCTCACCTCCACTCCTCACTTTTTTTGGTGGTACTGGAATTGAACTCAGTGCCTTCACTTGCTAGGCAAACACTCCATCACTTACTTCAGCGATGCCCCCAGTTCTTTTGCTTTTGTTTAGCAGATAAGACTCTCATGAACTTTTGCACGGGCTGCCTTGAACCAAGACCCCTCATCTATGTCTTCTGAGTAGCTTGGGATACAGCTGTGAACCACACACTTGGCCCTCCTTTCCATTCTTAGCCCTACCATAGCTACAGCTAAGAGCCCTGTGTCTTCTTAGTGAGCCTGTCTTACGATTCCTCAATTTCTTTCAAGATCCAGACTCACTAACAATATGGAGATGAAACCTTTCCTTCATCCTTCAAACCACAGACGTTTCTCTTATTAGAACTCTGTTCAACCCAGGAAAGTAATAAAGCCCAACTATATGTCATGTGATAAAGTTTTGTGTCTGCTTTCAGGTGCAAATTTATTTAATAAAGAATAAAATTACAAGGAAGAAAAGCTGTGGCTTTTGCCTTCAGCAAAAGAACCTCAGGGATAGTGCCCAATCCCTGAGTTCAAGCCTCAGGACCTGCACCCTCCAATAAACAAACAAAAACAAATCAAGAAGAAAATTACAGCCAAGTGCTGGAGGCTCACACCTGTAATCCTAGCTACTCAGGTGGCTGAGATCTGAACATCCCAGTTCAAAGCCTGGGCAGGCAAGTCTGTGAGACTCTTATCTCCAATTAATCACAGAAAAAGCCAGAAGCAGAGCTGTGGCTCAACTAGTACAGCACTAGCCTTGAGCAAAAGAAGCTCAGGGTCAGTGCCCAGGCCGAGAATTCAAGCCCCAGGACCAAAAAAAAGAAAGAAAGAAAAAGAATTACACACTTACACATTTAAAACAAGTTACACTCTTATCAGCTCTGTTTTAGATCTACTGTATTGTAAACCAATGAATTAAAAACAAACAAACAAACAAACATTACCTGTGCTCACAGCAATGCTTACACTTTTTCTCAAGTTTATGCCAGGTGAGTCAGAGGGTGTTTCCATGGATACCAGCTCGACTTGTCTTGCATCTTCACCAGCAGCTGTCTTAGAAGAGCCAGCCTTCAGAGACTGTGCTTCCAATAAACGCTGAATCTGTATCAATCACAAACATGCTTTTAACAATGAAGTGGTCAACAAAATTGATAGCAGAGTTTAACAACAAATTACAAAGTGACAAGTTATAAAGAACACACTTTTAGCTATTTTATCACATTACAATTAGATCATACCATGAAACTTCAATATAGAGAGCCATTATCATTAGTTATTAAGAAGCACTTAAAGTCAAGTATAAATTAAAAAGTGAAGTATAAAGATTGTCATTTATGTAGAAAAGTGTAAATGCCAATATTTCAAATTGACATTCCTACTGCCCTATAAAGCAAGTAAGAATGGAGTAAACTCAGACTCTGCATACCAAAGGCTGAACACTACAGATTGTTTTTATAAAGGTTAATTGGAACTGCCCATATATGGCTATGCTGAAACTAGAAGTATTAATAAACAATAGCTAATAATTACTGAGTTGTTTCTTGTTTGTAAGACACTATACCACAAGCTATTTTTTTTTTGGGGGGGGGGGGGGTGTCAGTCGTGGGGCTCCAGTCTAGGTGGTGCTGTCCATGAGTTTTTACTCAAGGCTAGTGATCTACCACTTTGAGCTATGGCTCCACTTCCAGCTTTTGAGCAGTTAACTGGAGATAAAAGTGTCACAGGGACTTTTCTGCCTGGACTGGCTTCAAACTTTAATCCTCAGATCCCAGCCTCCTGAGTAGCTAGGATTACAGGTGTGAGCCACCGGTGCCCAGCTTCCACAAGCTTTCATGAATGATTTTTGTTTTTTTATAATTCCATGAAGAGTGTATTGCTATTACAAAGATAAGAAAACAAGAGGTACTCAAAGTTACTTGTTCAGGTAGCATACATAACTAACAGAACAGTAGCAAAACTTAGATTCAAACGTCAAAGTCTCCCACTCTTCTTTTATAATTGAGATATGTTACATACCCATTGCTAATTCAGTAGTTCTTATTACATTCACGAAATGCGCAACCATCGTCACCACAAATAATTCCAGAATACTTATATCAAACTTCAAAGACTCTATTACCCATGAAGCACTCACTCCTCATTATCCTTCTCCCCAGGACCTAGCTTCCACTTACCTACCTACCTCTATGAATTTGCCTATTCTGGATATTTTATTTAAATAGAACCATGTGGCTGGCTTTTTCAATCAGACTAACACTTTCAAAGGTTTAACTATGTCATAGATTACCTACTTTCTTTTTTATTGTCGGTCGTGGGACTTGAACTCTGGGCTTGGGCGCTGTCCCTGCACTCTTCAGCTCAAAGCGAGTGCTCTACCACTGGAGCCACAGTGCCACTTCTGGTTTTCTAGTGGTTTACTGGAGATAAGAGTCTCTCGAACTTTCCTGCCCAGGCTGGCTTTGTACTGTGATCCTCAGATCTCAGCCTCCTGCGTAGCTAGGATTACAGGCGTGAGCCACCAGCACTTGGCCTTATCTGTACTTTTAATAGCTAAAAATTCCATTGTATGGATATATCACATTGTATTTATCCATTCATCAGCTGATTGACAACTATGTTGTTTACAGTTTGGGCTCATGTGAAAAATGTTGCTATGGACATTTATATATAAGGTTTTGTGTGGATATATTTTTTCATTTCTTTTGGATATATACTAAAGCCACCCTTTTTACATACTGTTATCTTCTACTTCCTATTAATGATATTATTATACTTAACTTCTCATTATTTTTAGATTAATGTAAGTACTATCAATATATTATGGTCAGTAGAAATACACATAAAATCAATATAACATGTATTTATAGTATTTTGTAGTACAGATTTTGGTGTTACGAAAATGTACGTCTAAATCTTACGCTGCTACATTTTGGATAAGCTAATTAACCATTGTAAGCTTTAAGTAAAACGTAATATGTGATAATGAAGGAGAATATTGAAAGAGATGAATTGGGTATACTATTTATGAATATTGCACATGTATTTGTACAGTTAGAGGATCATGGAAAAAATATGGAGAATACATTTCAAATTATTTCCACTGGTTTGGGATAATATACAGAGGAAAGATTCTAATGAGGAAAGAAAAAGAAAAGACTAAAACAGCCAAAAATGCCCAGCAAAGACATATTAAGACACTAAAAGCCTCAAAGAAAGAAAACATTTCAGAACCAAGCAAATGAAACAAATCTACTACACACATGGAGAGGTTCTGGATTATTTAAGGTGCAGTGGACTAAGAGTTAGTATGAATACTAAAGGGTTGTCAAACTAGAGCTATGTTAGCATTTGCATTTAGTCATATATAAGGGTTTAGCAAATTACATAAGCAATAAAAGCAAATGATTTTATAGGTTAGGGTATGTACAGATAAAGAAAAAGAAGTCTTGCTTTCTAGTCTTAATATGCTTTCTAGTTTTAATATGCATAGAAAAGTGGCATGAGGTAAATTATTCTCTGAAATCCTCATTTTATTTATTGGTAAAATAAGAACCAGATTTCAGTTTTTAAAGTCTTTCTACCTTCTGATATTCTGCAGTTCTATGCTCTGATATGTAATTCTATGAAATATAGTCACTGCAAGTTTTAGTTTTTTAAGAAATCACTTCAAGTGGGGTGCCAGTGGCTCACGCCTATAATCCTAGCTACTCAGGAGGGTGAAATCTGAGGATTGTGGTTGAAAGCCAGCTCGGGCAGGAAAGTCTGTGAGACTCTGATCTCCACTAAACCACCAGAAAAACAGGAAATGGTGCTGTGGCTCAAGTGGTAGATTGCTAGCCTTGACCTGAAGGGCTGAGGTACAGTACCTAGGCCCAGAGTTCAAGTACCACTACTGACAAAAAAAGAAAAGAAATCACATCAATTCTAAGAATTTGACAAAACAGAAAGTTCCAGGCAAACCTGGGCCTGAAGTAGTCTCAGCTGTCTGTCTTGCTCTGTGACAAACCGATATGCATCTGGTGATAGCCCCATCATTCCATTATCCGAACCAGTCTTGGGTGTGTGCATGCATACTGGACAAGGCTGTGGGTTACATGAGTCAGCATGTGGAGGTCCTGCCACTGGAGATGGTTCTACATTGTTGTGAGGAGAACAAATGCCCATGCTTCCTTGAGGTCTTGAGGTGATAGGACTACTTGAAGAATAGACTGCATTGTGGTACAGAGCTGGGCCTCCAGTTGGGTGAAATAAAGAATGCTTTTGAAGGGCTGCAGACTGGAGGTCTTGAATAGATCCTGCTGTATTTATTCCTTGCCAAGAATTGATTGTACTGTACTGAACATGGCCATGATGCTGACAGCAACTGCAAACATTTGTGGGATAGAAAGATGGTAGGGAGGGAGAAGGTATCTGAAGTTCCATTGGTCTTCCTGAATTAGGTGGTGAGAACATAAAATTGTGTGGGTGAGACTGTGGGGCAAGAGAAGACTGCCTAGAATTAAATGTGGATGCTCTTCCGGGATAGTCTTCTTTTTGTTTATTCCCAGCAGAAACTGCTTGAAGCTTCTCAGATATATCAGGAGGTAGCACAGTGTGAGAAGATGGTTTGGTACTGTTGTTCCTGAAATAGGGGTTTCCTTTCATATAGGGAGATGAGTCTCTTACTTGGCAATGTCTCAAACAAGCAATGCCCTCGTTTAACTGATTGGGAATCCCTTTCAACGAAGGCTCTCCAGCTTCAACTTCTGGGCTATGTTTCTCATCATAAAGCTCAGGTTGCAATGGCTTCAAGTGTTCAGAGTGGTTCACCAGCAAGGGAAGATTTTCAGTGTTTGGCATTTTCAGTGGATTAGACAGGTGATTTGACTCTATGTAATTGCCATCCAACACAAGAGAAAGTTCAGGAACTGATGGTTGGATCTTAGAAATCTACAAAAGGGGAAAAGAAGAAAATTTTAGAGAAATATACATACTTTACTTTCTTAGGCCAGTATTTCCCAAATATTCTACTTCGTTAAAAAATTATTCATTACTAGTCCTAAGTACTCAGGATGGTGAGATCTAGAGGATCATGGTTTGGGACCAAATGGGGCAGAAGAATCCATGCAACTCCATCTCCAACATAACCAGCAAATGCCAGGTTGTAGAGTGGCTCAAGTAGCAGAGCACTAGCTGAGCAAGCAAATCCTAGTACCATAAAAAGCAAACAAATCCAAACCTAGTAATTTCCCAGATTTACTTAATAGTGAGATTGACCCCTAAGCCAAAGCTTTGTGAAAAATCTTGAATTTATGGGGAGGGAAGGTGGGAAAGTGTGTACCTAGCTGTCCTTTCCCTGAAGAAGACTAAAGTCTCTATGGGCTTTCATGATCCCAGCTATGGGGGTATTTTATTTCATAATTGATTTTGCTGTATCTCAGTATTTCCTTTCCCATTTTCAAATCTTTGTTTTTTGGTAATACTTGCTGACTCTTCCCTTCCCTACTTATTGATATTCAAAAAAAAGGAGGAGGGATTTCTTCAATAGAACATTAATTGACATTGTTTAAATCGCAGAGTGCAATATAGGAAGCTGTTTTATGTAAGTTTTTACCCTTACTCTGCCAAAAATAATTATTTCATGTAGAATATTCCAACAGATCTAGATCCAAATGTTGATGCAACTCAAATAACCAGGGATTCTTCAGAAAATGATTTAGAATATTTTTCTACTAAGTGAAGTTAGTCATTTCTTCTAATATCAACTAAAATGAATGGAAATTTGCTTCACCGTCATATTAATTTTTAAAAATTGTTATTTTATATGTGAGTTTGCTGGTACTAAGGCTTGAACTTGGGGCCTGGATGCTATCCCTGCTGTCCCTGAGCTTTTTTGTTCAAGGCTGGTGCTCTACCATTTGAGCTACTTTGTTTTTTTGTGATAATTAACTGGAGATGAGTCTCATGAACTTTCCTACCCAGGCTGGTTTTGAACTGTAATCCTCAGATTTCAGTCTCCTTAGTAGATAGGAATATAGGCATGAGAAACTGGCCCTGGTTTCCTATTCCTTTTCTTTGGAAGTAATAGAGTTTGAACTCAGGGTCTCATGTACTCTATCAATTTTAGCTGTGCCCCAACTATTTTTTTTTTGCTCTGCTTCAGTTATTTTTTGAACACGATCTCCCATTTTTGGCCAAGACCAGCCTCTGGCCTCAATCTTCCTACCTACTCATGAGAAATTGGAACCATAAACACACATATCTGGTTTGTTGGTTGAGATGAGGTCTTAAGTTTTTGCCCGGGCTGGCCTGGAATGGCAATCCTCTTGATCTTCATCTCCTGAGTAAGTAGGATTAGAGGGATGTACCTCAAGTGTGTATACACTCAGCCTTCCATTCATTTTTCTTCTAAAAAGATAACCAGTTCAGTTAAGATAAACAACAATTCTAAAATAACCCACTGGTTTGCAGTAATTGAAAAAATACAACAGTGGTTATTAGCAACTCACATCTGAATACAAGTAGATGTTTCCTCAGAAAATAGTAATAAAATTAATGTCAGGTGGCTTTGGTAATAGTATAGATAAAAGATTCTAAAACAAAATCACACTAATCAGAATCTCAGGTTCACTACTCACCAGTTACGTGATTTTGGACAGGGAAATAAATCTATGCCTTAGTTTTCTCTAGAAATAATAATTATATGTATCTAAGGAATGTACCCTTGTATATAGATCCAAATAGCTAGAATAATGATATATTTTATTTATTTATTTATTTATTTATTTAGGTTGGTAGGTTGTGGGTTCTGAACTCTGGGCCTGGGAGCTGTCCCTCAGCACTTCAGCTCAAGGCAAGCACTCTACCACTTCAGCTACAGTGCCACTTCTGGTTTCCTGATGGTTTAATGGAGATAAGAGTCTCATGTCCTTTCCTGCCTGGGCTGGCTTTGAACTATGATCCTCAGATCTCAGCCTCCTGGGTAGATAGAATTACAGGCGTGAGCCACCAGTGCCCGGCTTTAGAATGAAAGTTAAGTAAGTTTTAGTAGTATTACTGCTATAACATGAAGAGACTTTCAGGCCTCTCACCACAAAAGTAATTCATTAGAGGATCAGTGATACCTTCTGACTCACTGGATGAGGACTAGGAATTGGTCTTGGAGAAAAATCTTCATCTTCAACACCAGAGTCATGATCATTTATTGGTATTTTCCCAGGAGGTAATTTTTGGGAAGACCTAAAGAATAGAAGAAGAAAAAAGGAAAATGTTCAAGCTGAACATAGTCACACATACCTATAGTCCCCCAGCACTCAAGAGACAGAAGCAGCAAAATTGTGAGTACCCTGGAATACATGACAAGACTCTATTTCCAAAAACAAAACAGAGCAAAACAAAATTTTCTTTCTTCCTTTTTGAAACTGAATAACGTCCTTTAATCAGTAGTATTTTGAACGTCTAGTTTCGTACCTAAAGGCACAGATTATTTTTTAGGTCAACATAAGTTTATCAGGAAAGCTAATCTACTCCAACTCCTGCTTACCTATTATCTTTTGCCTAATTGTGATAAGCTTAATCTTTAATGTGAGAATAAATCAACAGTCACTGAGACCCTTCTGGCTGACCACACTGAGGAATATAGAAAGAAGACGTGGTACTTACTATAAAAAGCTTATAATGTGGGGATAGACATGTATACTTACTATATTAAATATACTATATTAAACATTGACTGTGCCACTAAAGAATTACATTTTCCTATATACTTATATGTGTAGTGGGAAAATACTCAGACACAGAGGCATCACCTCCAATTTAGTCACTGTATCATAAATGGTAGGCTGCAGCTGAAAATTTTTGACAGGCCTGGAGATGTAACTCAACGGAATAGCACTTGCATAACAAATGCAAGACCCAGGATCAATCCCTAGCACTGCAAAAAAGAAAAATGTTGAGTGTTATATAAATGTCAAAAGCTGAAATTAGGAAATGGAGCTGTGGTTCAAGTGGTAAAGCCCTAGCCTTGAACAAAAAAGCTCAGGGACAGTAAACATAGTCCTGGGGTTCAAGCCCCTCCATACCACACACACACACACACCACATACACACACACCCCTCCCTCCATAACACACACAAACACACACACACCCCTCCCTCCATAACACACACACCACACACACACACACACACACACACACACCCCTCCCTCCATAACACACACACACACACACACACACACACACACACACACACACGGACAGTAAACATAGTCCTGGGGTTCAAGCCCCTCCATAACACACACACACACACACACACACACCACACACACACACACCACACACACACACCCCACACACACACACCACACACACACACCCCTCCCTCCATAACACACACACACACACACACACCCCTGAAATTAGAGTTTAAGATTTCTAAAATGTGATGTTTCTGTGCATCCTAAGTTAGATGAAGTGTCAATAAGATGCTGCAAGGAAAAGATAAACCAAAAGTAAACTAAGAAAACAGAATTAATGAGGCTCTAAGAAAGCATCTTATTTCATACAAGTTGAATTCTTCCTAGAAGTTGTCCTTCTAGAACAACAAGAAATCTCAAAGCAGATTTAAATCTCTGACAGTAGAGATTTGTAGACCAAATCTTGGTTTTCTCTAGAGACACAAAAATCTTCCTGTATAGGGTAGTGCAATGAAGCAATGAGAAGGTGTGTGTGGTATATTGAAGCAGATGGATCGGGTCTGCATCAGTTCTACAAGGTACGAGAAGGACAGGGAAAATATAGAGTAGTATCTCATGTGCTCAGTGCATCATGGCCATGACACAGAAAGCCAATGATCTGAATAGGGTTATAACAGTAACCTGCACAAACCTCTGAAAGACAGAGATGCAAACGTGTCAGCAGATGGATGAGAATTCTATCATTCTTCTCATCAGTTCTGGTAATACTGTTAGTCCCCTCCACATTACACATAACTCTAGCAGAAAAGGGGTTAAAAAAAAAAACCTTTGAATTGACTGAAATTTATTTCTATAACCCAGTAGAATGAACATGGGTTCTAAATACTATAGGGCTAGAACACAGTACCCAGACATTAGTCAAACACTACATGAAATGTCTCCATGGAAATATTTTTTATGAGACTAACGTTTAAATCAGGAAACTCTGAGTAAAGCTTTATTCTTTATAATATGGATAAGTGTCATTCAATCAATTGAACATCTTAAAAGAAAACCAATAACTTCTCTGAGGGGATAGGGAATTTTGCAAGCAGATGGCCTTTATTCTCAAAATATAACTTTTCCTTGAGTCTTCAGCCTGCTAGCCAACCTTGCAGATTTTGGACTTGCCAAATCTCCCAAATTTACAGGAGCCAATTCCTTAAAATAAATATATGACTCTACCTACAATCCTACTACTTCTGTTACTCTGGTGAAGCTTTAGTAATATGAATGAGTACCTTCTTTACCACAAAGGTAGACTATAATGACTATAATGACCCAAAAGTCACAAGACCTTATTTAAGATTCTCCAAATGTATGTCATTTAAAAGTTTCTAAACAAACTTGTTCTTTTTTAGGTAAAGGAGTTATTTTTATGGTGGTTTATCTGATAGACCCATGATTAAAACTACAAGAAAGGAAAAAACAAAGAAAAGACACTAAATTTAAAAAAAAAAAAAAAAGTATTTCTTTTCTTTTTTTCTTTTTCTTTTTTTTTTTGGTGCTAGAACTCAGGGCCTAGAAACTATTGTTGAGTTTTTGTGCTCAGGGTTAGTACTCTACCACTAGAGCCACAGCTCCATTGTGATTAATGGGGGATAAGAGTCTCCTAGCCTACCCACCTGGGGTGGCTTTGAAACCTTAGCCTCTGTAGTAGTATTATGGGTGATAAGCCACCAGTGCCTGGCAAGAGAGATACTTCTTTTTTTTTTGGGTCCGGTCGTGGGGCATGAACTCTAGGCCTGGGCACTGTCCCTCAGCTCTTCAGCTCATGGCTAGTGCTCTACCACTTGAGACACAGTGCCACTTCCGGCTTTTTTCTTTTTGCTTATGTGGTGCTGAAGAATCGAACCCAGGGCCTCAGGCATGCAAGGCAAGTGCTCTACCACTGAGCCACCTTCCCAGCCCCAGAGAGGTACTTCTTAAGCCAGGTAATTTCTTTTTCTTTTTTGTCCGTCATGGGGCTTGAACTCTGGGCCCGAGCACTGTCCTTCAGCTCTTTAGCTCAAGCTAGCACTCTACCACTTGAGCTACAGAGCCACTTCTGGTTTTCTAGTGGTTAATTGGAGATAAGTTTCACGGACTTTCCTGCCCGGGCTGGCTTTGAACCGCGATCCTCAGATCTCAGCCTCCTGAGAGCTAGGATTACAGGTGTGAGCCACTGGCACCCGGCTCCAGGTAATTTCTTGACTAATACCTTTTGGCTTTCTTGTACAATAAATCAACTCACATGAAGACAATATCAGAGTTGTCATTTCATCAAAACTGCCACCAACAACACGGTGGATTAAAAAACATTCATTTAAAGCAAAGGCACTTAGGGTCATAGATTTATTTTTTTTTTACCGTTTTTTTAAAATGTCTATTTTATTGTAAAGGTGATGTACAGAAGGGTTATAGTTATGTAAGTAAGGTAATGAGTATATTTCTTTTTGAAGTGTTACCCCCAGGGTCATAGATTTATAAACAGTTTTAGCAGAAATAGAGAGCTATTTCACTACCAATGAGTACATTTAAAAGAAAAAAAAGTACACATTATAATAAAGAGTAATTTTTTTTTACCTTTTAATGGAAATACCCTTGGAAATCTTGCTGAAAAACTCTGTTTCTACATCTTGGCTTTCAGCACTCAGTTCGAAATGGATTGGATTTCTGTCAGAAGGCTCAACATTCTGAAATGAAGTTAAGTCATACTTTGAGATCTCATGTAAATTAAAATACCAAGAAACTATAGTTAGACGAAAAGTAGCTCTGAAGCATGAAGGAGGGTACTTCTAATTTCTGTAACTGTAACCTCTTTTAGAAAATGTCCACTTCCCTGAATTTTAAGTAAAAACTTAATCACCTGACTAAGGATTCAATAAATTTGACAAGTATAAAGATACCATCTAAAGAACGAAATGATAAATGATGTCTCAAAAATAGAAATAATTGTCATTTAAGATGATTAAAATTAAAATTTTATTCCTGAACAAATGTAACCAATAAAGGAACTCAAGAAAAATGTTAAGATGGGGCTGGGAAGGTGGCTCAGTGGTAGAGCGCTTGCCTTACATTCCAGAGGCCCTGGGTTCGATTCCTCAGCACCACATAAGCAAAAAAAAAATAAAACATTAAAAAAAAAAAAAAAAAGAAAAATGTTAAGATAAGATCTGGGTGGATGGAGCTGGTGGAGCTGGGAAGATGGCTCAGTGGTAGAGCGCTTGCCTTGCATGCATGAGGTCCTAGGTTCAATTCCTCAGCACCACATAAGCAAAAAGAAAAAAGCTGGAAGTGGCACTGTGGCTCAAGTGCTAGAGCGCTAGCCTTGAGCTGAAAAGCTGAGGGACAGTGCCCAGGCCCAGAGTTCAGGTCCCACTACCGGACCCCCGCCCCCCCCCCCCCAAAAAAAAAAAAGATCTGAGTGGAAACACAAGTTTTTTTAGAAGCAGTTAGTGTTTTTATAATAAGAGGTGTATTTTTCTTATTGGTATAACATCTAAGATATAATTTTATTAAATAATAATAATCTTAAAAAATAATAATCTTAAAAAATAGTATTTAGCCAGGCACTGGTGGCTCCTGCCTATAATTCTAGCTACTCAGGAGGCTGAGATCTGAGGATTGCAGTTTGAAGCCAACCAGAACAGAAAAGGCCCTAAGACTTTGATTTTCAATTAACCACCAGAAAACTGGAAATGGTGCTGTGGCTCACAGTGGTAGAGCATCAATTTTGAGCAAAAGAGTTCAGAGCTCAGGGACATACCCAGGCCTAGGAGTTCAAGCCCTATGACTGACCAAAAAAAAAAAAAAAAGTGATCTTTAAGATTTGGGTACCAGGGGCTCATGTCTGTAATTTTAGCTGCTTAGGAGGCTGAGATCTGAGGATCGTGGTTCCAACCAAGTCCATGACACTCTTATCTTCTTTTTTTTTGTCAGTTATGGGGCCTGAGCTCTGGGCCTGGGCGCTGTCCCTCAGCTCTTCAGCTCAAGGCTAGCACTCTACCACTTGAGCCACGGTGCTACTTCTGTTTTTTTTTTTTTTGTTTCTTTGTTTATGTGGTGCTAAGGAATTGAACCCAAGGCCTCATACATGCAAGGCAAGCACTCTACCACTGAGCCATCTTCCCAGCCCCATTCTTATCTTCACTTAACCACTGAAAAGCTAAAAGCAGAGTTGTGGCTCAAGTGGTAGACAGAGCACCAGCCTTGAGCAAAAAAAGTCAGAGACAGTGCCTAGGCCCTGAGTCTAAGCCCTGGACTGGCACATAAAAGTAATCTTTAAGCTAGAAGTAGTAGCATGAATACTAGTACTGCTCTAGGCTGAGGCAGAAGTACAAGGTAGTAAGACTGCCCCTTGTCAAAAAAAAAGAAGTTATCTTTAAATTTAGATATTTCTAGTTTCAAAGATGTACTTTTTCTGTGGTCATTATGGACACAATTTTATATATTTTATTAGATAAAGCAACAACTTATTTAGATTCTTTGAATTATACTGTATAAATACTGACTTTGAAGTGTGAAAAATTTTACATACTATTCAAAAAGATAATATAGTTATGAGAAAGAAAACACCAAAATCATGAGATCCTCAGGAGCAGAAATTGATACAACTATAAACTATATATAATTTTCAAAGATTTCAGAATAACATGGATAAGTTATTCTGTGATAACCTTTAGTCTATGGCCTAAGATCTACTAAAGAAAAACTAGCCATAAGTAAATAAATCTACTATTCAATAAATAAGTAAAGCTTAACAATTTAAATTAATATTTTTAAGGATAAAGGACAATGAATTTCAACAGTCCAAATGTAACCCATAATAGTCATAATATATTGGAGACGTAGGTCACTTACATTGAAAACACGTAATGTTTCCTTGCTGGATAGTAAGTGAAATTGAAGGTCAGAGGTCCTTCCATCGCATGGGAGGCATTCATAAAACTCAGGTTCCTTATGTGTCAACGAATAAAGAACTATGACAAAATGTCCAGATTCTGAAAAAACCCTGCATAAAAAATATTGTTTAAATGTTAGAACTTTAAAACTTAATGAAGATAGCAAGATTATACTGAAATAACTCCTATGTAAGTCTCCAAATAGATCAAATAAACAGTATAAGTTTTGGAAGAAAACTGGAAAGCAAGTCTATGTTTTCTTTTTAATTTATTTTTTATTTACTTATTTTTTTGTCAGTCATGGGGCCTGAACTCTGTGCCTGGGCCCTGTCCCTCAGCTCTTCAGCTCAAGGCTAGCGCTCTACCACTTGAGCCATAGCACCACTTCCAGCCTTTTCTGCTTACGTGGTGCTGAGGAATTGAATCCAGGGCCTCATGCATACAAGGCAAGCACTCTACCACTGAGCCACCTTCCCAGCCCCCTTTTTAATTTAAAAAATGCATTTCATTATGTAAAATGTATAGGAATGTATAAAATGGAAAGTGAAAAAGACACTCTTCACTCTCCTATTTAGTGGAAGTACTTCCAGAATTCAGGCATGGTAGCACACATCTGCAGTCAATGCCTACATGGGAGGCTGAGGCAGAAGATCATGTAAGCTAATAAGTTGAAGACCCAATTGAACAACATACCAAGACCATCTCATCTTAAAACATTTCCCTGAGTATCAACACAAAAATAAAAAAAAATATTGTCTCATGCTTCAGACTGAACACAGAATGAGAGATAGAGTGCTTCAAAATTCATTTTACTGAACATTTACTGTCAATAGTAACTTACAACAAAATCAATATTAATGATAAAACTATACTAAATCATAGCAAAGAATCAATAACATTTACCTTGTCTTGGTTTTATCAGTAAGTAACACTTAACTTTTTTTTTTTAATCAGTTGTGGGGCTTGAACTCAGGACCTGGGCACTGTCCCTAAGCTCTTTCATTCACAGCTAGTATTCTACCATAGATTCACTTCTCATTTTTTGGTAGTTAATTGGATGTAAGAGTCTCACAGAGTTTCCTACCCTGGCTGGCTGTGATTCTTAGATCTCAACCTCCTGAGTAGCTAGGATTACAGGTGTGAGCCACTGGCTGCCTGGAACATTTAACCATTTTATTTGTTTTAAGATCTTGTAACCTAATCAAGGCTGGGCTAGAACCATGTATGTAGCCAAAACTATCCTTAAAGTTAAAATCCTCTGTCTCCCAAATGCTGGGATTATAGGCATGTACCACTGTCCTGAAAAATAAAACTATTTTGCAAAAGATGAAATAAAATGTAAAAAAATCTAACTACGAAACCAGCTATAGCACCAGGCATGGTGGCACAAACCTATAATTCTAGCACTCAGGAACTGAGGCAGGAGGATCTTGAGTTTGAGGCCAACCTCCAGGACAGCCTGAATTCTACATTAAGACTCTAAGCTGGCCTTAGTAGCATATGTCTGTAACCCTAGAAATGAAGGAGGTTGAGATCTAAGGATCAAGGTTGGAAGCCAACCTGGGCAGAAAAGTCCAAGAGACTTTATTTCCAATTAACCAGCAAAATGCTGAACTAGAGAAATGACTCAAATTGTACAGCACCAGCCATGAGCAGAAAAAACTGAACAAGAAGGCACTGAGTTCAAGCTCCAGTACCAATATTAAAAAAAGTATTTGAAGAAAATATAAAAAAAATACAAAAGATACTTTACTCAGTAATACTTCTAAAATAGGAAAATCTTTTCTAAGTAAGACAGAAAAAATGATTTATGGCCTGGGGATGTAACTCAGAGGTAAAGTGCTTGCCTCACATGTACAAGCCTTTTTATGTGAGCTCCCAGCAGGGAAAATAAATAATAAATAAATAAAAATATTATATAAATTTTAAGTGAAACCAATATAAGATAAATGGGTAAAGACAAAAATAAAATACGTAATAAAATAATATTACTTGCCTTTCTTGAATAGAAGAATTGAATACATATCTCAAACAGCAAGCCCATACCTGAGGACTATAGATGTGTATAATTCCAGACAGCCAACTAAAAGAAAAAATGGAAATTAAAATCTATGGTAAAGTTGGATATGGTGGGCTGGGAAGGTGGCTCAGTGGTAGAGCGCTTGCCTTGCATGCATGAGGCCCTGGGTTTGATTCCTCAGCACCACATAAGCAGAAAAAAAAAAAAGCCGGAAGTGGCGCTGTGGCTAAAGTGGTAGAGCGCTAGCCTTGAGCTGAAGAGCTCATGGACAGCGCCCAGACCCAGAGTTCAGGCCCCACTACTGGACCCAAAAAAAAAAAAAAAAAAAAAAGTTGGATATGGTGACATACACTTGTAATCTAAGCACTAGGAGCTCAGGCAGGAAGAGTTTGAGATCTTTCCTCAAAATAATGAACACAAAACAAAACAATATAGTCATTTAAAGATGAACATTTTAGATTAGGTATTTCTCATTATGTATTGGAAGATCTTTGATATTTGCCAGCAATATATTGAAAAGTCCTCTCAAATAAGGAATCTATCAGCATTAGAGGGATAACCTATAGACATCTAGTATAGTATCAATATAAATAAATAGTATCTACATACAGAAAAAACAAGTATGTGTTTCTTTCTCTCTATCCTCTTCCACCTGAGATGTAAAAGAGAAAATGGTGCAGAGGTGAGAGTAGAATGCCAGAATGAATTAGCTTGGACTGTAAAGATTGGGAACTAGAGGAGCCTGAGTTGTAGATATGATTCAATGCTGTAACATACAGAGATGGCCTGAAATACAAGAGGGTCTTAATGTTTACTTAGTAATCAATAAGCCACGGATAATACCAGAACTACAGCACAAGACTACTAACAGATTTCACAGTGTAGCGAACCCATATCCATTTTCATTAGCTTTGTAATGCCATTTCCTAACATGGATTCCCTTTCCTGTCAATCCAATCTATGCAAGGTCCAGCTCAAGTTTATTGTCTATAAGAAAATGTCCATTATTGCTCTATTACAAATACTAACAGTGTTCATTTTCTACAGTGCTCACTTCACAGTAACTTGATCATTTATTTTTCTATGTGAATATTTTATCATTTCACTTTTGATTATAAATTCCTTGAGAAGGAGCTTCAAACAAAACATAATACCAAGCAATAATGTTAAGCATGTGGAAAACACTAAATAAATACTGAATAAATATAAATTCTTGAATAATATGTCTAAATGCCATTAGCCACTAACTAAAAAGAAAGCTAATGGAAATTTCTGCAAGATTGCCTGCAGTACATTTTAAGTAGCATTATTTTGACTACTGGGCTCTTCAGTGTAACTACTTATAAGACAAGAGGTAATGTCAGAATAATGCAGGTTCTAAGACTTTAACTTCAACGATAAGGATTTAGTTTTGTCTGTTTTACATATAGGAGTTCATTCTAAATCTGGGTCAAAATCTTATTTTAGCTGATTCAAAATCCCTATTAAAATAAGAAAGCTGCCTCATGCCTATAATCCTACATTTGGCTAAAAAGGCTTTCATGAACAATATAGTACTTACATTCCCACTAGTGGTAGAGAACAAACCTTGGGATCTGATTCCAGTAAAAGTAACAATTTTCGGGTTTCATCCATGGTAAGATACCTAAACAGAAGATATTTAAGTAAAAATAATTTTAGCTATGTATTTTTGACCTTGAAGAGGTAATGTCAGAAATGGAGTATAATTTAGGTAGGGGATATAATTCAAAAGAGTAGTCTCAGATACATGTAAACACAAAGAAGAATTCAACGCACTTAACTCTAACAGAGGATTCTAGTAAGAAAGGATTAAAGAGATTTAATTTAAAATTCTACCTACCTATTAATAGGTTTTGGGTTTGTTTTTTTGTTTTTGTCAGTAATGGGGCTCAAACTTAGGGCCTGGACACTGTCACTGAGTTCTTTCGCTCAAGGCTAGCATTCTACCACTTTGAGCCAGAACATTACTTCCTATACTATCTATTAAAATGATCATTAAAGATATACTTTTAAAAACGTTTTATTCCTTAATTTTACTTACAACTTACTTTAACCTGAGTGTAAACATCAAAGTAGGCAGTATCAGAACTAATTAGGTTACATGGGGAAAACTGAATTTTTTGCTCCAGGAAGTGTTTTAGCATCTAGGTAATTTGCCAAGACTTCACACTGAAAGTGCCTGAGTTAGGAGAAGTATTAACCAAGTATTTATGTGCCATATTCCTCCAACTTCTCCCAAAGGGTATGATAAGAAAACCCAACACTTATTTTCCCAAAAGGACAATATACTATATTTATACTTAGTTATAACAATTGACAGTAGGTTTTAAGTATATGAAAAATCTGGATGGGGTACAATACTGTACATTGGCATGCCCAAGGGCTACAGATCAATAATTCAAAGAAAGGAAATTTTCTGCTGCATAGGTACAAAGGGAAACTAATTTTGTGGTTCACGTTAATAATAAAAAAATTCCCAGTTAAAAAGCACTTCATTATTCCAAAAGAATTAAGTGTTCTTTCAAATACTTTTTTGAATATCAGGTCTTTGACCATTCCCTGATTATGGAATACAAAATTATTTCTTTTGTGTTCCTCTAACTAGCAACTACCACTCTGCTCAGATTCTGGGATTGAAAATGAGAGTTGCTTGCTACTACAGGGAGAAATTCTTTTCTTTTTTTCATCCTCTTTTAAAGGATAAGACTTGGAGTTGAGTGTACCTTGGCGAGCACTTCTCAGGCCTCGTGAGACTTAACAGGAACTGAGGCGGAGTCAGTGGGACAGGAAGCCAGAAAGGTAGTGAATGCCAGAGCTGCTACTTGTTAAACTTTAAAGCACAAGGTGCTTGTATTGTTCAACAGATAATTGATAAAGCAGATGAAGATTCAGGGAAGCAGCCCTGCTGAGAACTAGAATGCATGCATTTTGACTACATTTCCTAAGGAACTAAGGGATAACAAGCTGGAGAGGACTCTACTGGAGCTATGTAAGGAAATCACCCTCAAGTAGCTGGCAAGTTGGTATGTAAGAGTATTACAAACTTTTAATGATCTCCTTTCTCTGCATATTATACATGAAACATTCAGCTTCTCTTAGGTTCAATTAGTCAGATTGTAGTTAAAAAAAGAAAACAAAGGCAAAGATGACCTAAAACCTAAGAAAACCCATCAATTTTAGTAATTTTACCTAGTTAAAGAAAACTTTATTCTGAAATCAGCTGGATTGTGGTTCAGTGGTAGGTGTGTACATATATGTGAGACACTAGGTTCACTTCGCAGCACACACACACACAAAAACCAAAACAAATCTTTTTTTTTAAACATTCCCCTAGTTATTAATCAAATAATCAGATCCCTGATATATAAACTGGTTACACAATTGTCTCATATTACATTATTCAAAAAATACACCAATGGAACCAACTTAAAAAGTTTACATTAACGTAAACTTACCCATATTTATAGGTACCTTGAACTTGAGAAATATTCAGATTACTAGCCAAGTTTCTTGCCAGGGCTGTTGGGATAATAGGAATGGGCTTCACGGGTGTGCATTTAAACTTATTTGCTGGAGTTACTGCTGCCCAATGCAAGTCAAACTCCACAGTGTCCAAATCCTCTCTGGAAGTGATCTGAGCTCTGAGAGAAAGCAGCTTACCACAGTCCAAGGAATCTTTGCTACACACGTGGTGTTGTATGGCCTGAGGATCAATATTATACAATTATTTTAGATTTGACATGTGTGCATGTCTTTTTTTGTTTGTTTGTTTTTTTGGTTTGGTCGTGGGGCCTGAACTCTGGGCCTGGGCGCTGTCCCTCAGCTCTTCAGCTCAAGGCTAGTGCTCTACCACTTGAGCCACAGTGCCACTTCCAGCTTTTTTTTTTTTTTTTTTCTGCTTATGTGGTGCTGAGGAATCGAACCCAGGGCCTCAGGCATGCAAGGCAAGCGCTCTACCACTGAGCCACCTTCCCAGCCCATGTGTGCATGTCTTTAAGGTTATTTAACACTAGTACCTATACACATATGTCTTGTGTTAACAAAATTAAATTAGTTCTGATTTCTGTCAGATATTTCTTCCATGCAATGAAATGGTTGTATGAATTATTACATGAAGGCAAATTAAGAATTCTGTTCCAAGCTCCAAAACATACTTCCAAATAAGTTGTCCTAATAGCACTTCCAATTCCTTATGGTGGTATTGGGATTTGAACTCAGGACCTCATGTTTGTTTGGTAGGCACTCTGCCTCCAGTCCTTTTTAGTACTGGCTATTTTTGAGATAGACTCTGACTTGGTGCCCAGGCATAAGCCTAGGTTATGATCTGAAATCTATTTTAGGCTTCCTGTATAGCTGTGATGACAAACACACATCACCATGCCTAACTTCCTACACTGAGATAAAATCTTGTGAACTTTTCTGCTTGGGTTGACCCAGAACCTAGATCCTCTCAATCTCAGCCTCATATGTATTTAGGATGACAAGTATATGCTACTATGCCCAGCTATTGGTTGAGAAAAGGTGTCATGTGTATGCCTATACTGGCCTCAAACTATAATTCTCCTGATCTCAGTCTCCTAAGCAGTTAGGATTATAGCCACCAGCATCCAGCTAGTACTTCAAATTCTTATGTTATCCCTTATAAATATTAACCACATAAGAAAAAAAGGATATAAATTCTGAATTCAGCTTCAGAGAATCTCACAATTCTTTTTTTTTTTTTTGGTTGGTTGTGGGGCTTGAACTCTAGGCCTAGGCACTGTCCCTCAGCTCTTCAGCTCAAGGCTAGTACTCTACCACTTGAGCCATAGGGCCACTTCTGGTTTTCTGAGTGGTTTATTGGAGATAGAGTCTCACCAAGTTTCTTGCCCCAACTAGCTCTGAATTTTGATCCTCACATCTCAGCCTCCTTCGCAGCTAGAATTACAGGCATGAGTCAGTGCCCAGCTACTCTTCCTTTTTTGATTTCTTTCTTGTTACAGCAATTTGCCAAGCATTTACTATGTCCATGGTATCATTTAAAGTTTTAGTGCCACTATTCTACTGTAGGCTAACACATCCTCTTTAACACTAATCTCACTACTGAACCAGCCTAACTTCAGATAGCCTGCTCTACCAGATTAACTGTTTCTGATTGATTTGATAATATTTTCCTCTTTTCAGAAACCTTAATGAGCCCAGCAAGGTGGTTCACACCTTAGTCCCTCTACACTGCAGACAAAGACACAAAGACATTAAGATTATAATGAGGTAGCCCTGGGCTATAAAGGGAAGCACTGTCTCTAACATAAGCAAACCCCAGGGGACTAGCCACCTGAGGCAGAATACTTTCTGGCCTCCTAACTACGTGTTTCATCCCCGTACTGAAAGAAAATTTTAAAGGCTACATGGCCCCTATAACATAGTTCAAATTCCTTAGACTAATACTCAAGGTTCTCTATAGTCTGGCCAAACTAATATTCCAGCTTGAGCTAACACAATTCCACACCCTTATAGTTACCCCCTCAGTACAGCTTGAACTTTCCTGTCTTGGTCACACGGCTTCTTTTTCTGGAATGTTATGCATACTAGGATCTCTACCTTCAGAAACTAATATATTGGATTTCAGATCCACAATAATTCAATAAAAAAATTACTGAGTACCTCTCAAATATGAACTTATTAAAATAATTTTTACTATATATGATTCTTCTGTGGATTTAATAAAGTTATCAATGAGTTTTCACCTTAAAAGCTGAACTGAAGTCATCTGCATTGTGAACTGCTACTTCTCTTGAACAAAGTCCTTGAGTACGAACTTTGCAGTTGACCAAAAAGTCCCCAGGAAGAGAAGCAGTAGGAGTTCTTTCTAAGCATTCAGGCACTTCTCGCCCAGGATCAAAGCGATCTACTGCCAATGTCACACCTTCTTCATCTAAAGAACAAGAATAATAACTATTACTTAGCATGCTAATTAAAAACATAAATTAACAAAGCAAGACAAAATTTTAGCAAAACCCTTTGTTCATTCCAACAGTGTACTATAAAATCGTACTTTGAAAAGTGGTTTGGAGCTGGGGATGTAGCTCAATTGGCAGGGGGTTTGCCTAGCAAGATTCTGGGTTCAATACTCAGAACCAAAACCTAACCAAACAAAACCAAACCAAACCAAAGTTTGCTTCTATATTCTTTTACCTGACTATATTGTGAAGTTTGTGATGGGTAGTTTTACTTATTTTTGTATCTTTGGTACATAGTAAAGAAAATTAGCACAAAGCACATACAATAGCTGGCTGAATCAACAAAAATGCATTGTATTATGGTCACAGAAGTAATTCTTTAAAGTACACTACCTTCATCCACTGTGAAAGAACCAATTAAAAAGCACGGCGTATTTTTTTTATTCTGCTTAGCATGACGATAAGCAAGTCGGATGATCTTTTCAGTCACCATAAGTTTTGGATTTCTGAAAAATAACATTAGTCTTTTATGAATGTTGTGAATTGGATTTTCTAAAAAATATTCATGTTATGAAATGTCACCTAGAATATAGCACATAACTTTTACAGTGTGCACAAAGATCATTGTCAGGAAATCCCAAGGTCAAAGGCAAGGAGTAAAGAAGGCCACTTGGAAACTAGAATGGCAATAGCTCATCCAAAGCAATAATTATCCTGGCACTTGCCTAACTTTAGGAACCAGAGCATGAATTGATAAACTATGCAGACCATTTGCTTTCGTAAAAAAAGTTTGATTGTAATAATCAGATCCATATGTTTACACATTATTTAAGAACTTCAGCATTAGTGCATAAAGAATATAAATAAACTTGATTAAAATGTTTAAAGATAGGGCTGGGATGTAGCTCAGTGGCAAAGCGCTTGCCTAGCAAGTGCAATGTCATGGGTTTGATCCCCGGTACCAAAAAAGAAAAGACAAAAAAAAATTTAAATGTTTAAAGAACTATAATCAAAATATGTGCAAGAAATAAGAAACTAAAAAAAAAGAAGAGCCAGGTGCAAGTGGCTCACGCCTGTAATCCTAGTTACTCAGGAGGCTGAGATCTGAGAATCGCAGTTCAAAGCCAGCCCAGGCAGGAAAGTCCATGAGACTCTTATTTCCAATTAACCACCAGAAAACTGGAAGTAGAGCTGTGGCTCAAAGTGGTAAAGCACTAGTTTTGAGTAAAAGAGCTTAGGGAAAGAACCCAGGGCTGGGAAGGTGGCTCAGTGGTAGAGCACTTGCCTTGCATGCATGAGGCCCTGGGTTCGATTCCTCAGCACCACATAAGCAAAAAGAAAAAAAGCCGGAAGTGGTGCTGTGGCTCAAGTGGTAGAGCGCTAGCCTTGAGCTGAAGAGATGAGGGACAGCGCCTGGGCCCAGAGTTCAGGCCCCATTACCGGACCCCTCCCTCTTAAAAAAAAAGAACCCAGGCCCCTGAGTTCAAACCTCACCATTAACGCCATTGCCATTATCATCTCCATCACCATCAACACCACCACCACCAAGAACAACAACAACAATGAAACCACAAAAAGGCATACATTTGAAAAGAAGCATTTGGAACTTACAGAGATTTAAAAAAATACACTATCAATTAAAAATTCAAAACATTATATAATCAATTGGAGACATGTACATGGGTATTATTTTATAAATGAAGCATACTTATGATGAATATTCTTTCACACAACACATACACACATACATATACATACATATATATATATATATATGTATATATATGGAGTATGTACTTCTTTTCTTTTTGGTAGTGGGGCTTGAACTCCGGGCCTGTGCTGTCCCTGAGCTCTTCAGCTCAAGGCTAGCACTCTACCACTTGAGCCACAGCACCACTTCTGGTTTTCTGGTGGTTAATTGGAGATAAGAGTCTCACGGACTTTTCTGTCTGGGCTGACTTTGAACCATGATCCTCAGATCTCAGCCTCCTGAGTATCTAGGAGTATAGGCTTGAGCCACCAGCACCTGGCTTGAATATGTACTTCTATATTTAATAAACCCAATCCGGGGATATGGTTTAGGTACAGTATCTAGAATTCTTAAATCAGGACTTGCTTATGCAAGTTGTGGGGTAAAAAGCAGGGGTTCCATCCCCAGCACCATACCCCCCAAAAATAATACTATGAAATGGGTATTATTACTGAACCTTGGACCCTCTTTTAGGTCATATAAATAAGAAGTTGTAAAATCTGAACTTACCACTCTAGATTGTCTAACTCCATTTAAACTACCTGAAACCAATGTAGCAAAAATCTATGTGACTTATCTCATAGTTTAATCTATGAGCCATTTCCAGGCTGCAGGTGTGGCTCAAGTGGTAAAGCACTAGCCCAGCAAACATTAAGGCCCTCAGTTCAAACCCAAGAACTGACCAAACAAAACCATGCATCATCTCATTGTTAACTGTCTCTAGGCCTTCCTACTATTTCCATCCTTCATAGAATACTTTCAGCAAGTCTTCATACAGAAAATCTCAATGGATCTATTTTGTATTACTTTAAGTCTTAAATGTCTCTCTTCTGTGTCTAAGACCCAGATATTTTATATTCCTTCTAGTTCAATCTACTCAAAAATGGGTAGAGCTCAGTGGCTCATGCCTATAATCCTAGCTACTCAAGGAAGCTGAGATATAAGGACCCAGGTTCAGAGCCAGCCTGGGCAGAAAAAGTTCCCATGAAACTCTTATCTCCAATTTACCACTCAAAAACCATAAGTAGGAAGTGGCACTGTGGCTCAAGTGATAGAGCACTCGCCTTGAGCTGAAGAGTTCAGGGACTGCCTAGGCCCAGAGTTCAAGCCCCACGACCAACAAAAGAAAAAAAAAGAAAAAGAAAAACTGGAAGTAGAGCTGTGGCTCAAAGTGGCAGAGCACTAGCCTTGAGCAAAAGAGCTCAGGGACAGTACCCAGGTCCTAAGTTCAATCTCTGCAACCATTCAAAAAAAAAAAAAAAAAAATCAGTTCAAGCTTCCTAATGTTCTACATGTTTAAGCATGATGAGAACCTTTCAGGTTTTATTTTGAATATGGTAATGCTCAGAACTTTAGATGTTCAGAATTTTCCCATGAAACTGAAATTCTCATTTTGTTTAAGGGAATTTCATGGAAAAAGTAAACAAATAGGGACACAGGTTGAACGCCTTTTATCTGAAATATTTGAGACCAAAAGTGTTTTGATCTTGGGATATTTGCATATTTAGTGAGATATGCTTGTTGATGGGACCCAAATCTAAACATGAAACAAATTTATGTTTCATACATATAGCTTGAAGGTAATCCTATACACCTGTGTGTTGTACATCTTCATTCTTCATCTTCTCTCTCACTGGTATCTGTGCCACAATGTTGCCATCAAACACATTTTAATTTTTGGAGATATCAGATTTCAGATTTGGAAATTAGGGATCCTCAACCTGTAATTGGTCATGGTACTCAATTTTGCCTTAAACATCCTTTTATGACTTAGGTTTATACTAGCTTGGTTTGAAAAAAGAAAAGTTCTTATACCTGTAGTAATTAAGATGCAAACAGACAAAATCTCCAATTGGTGTTGGGTTCCAAAGGGCTAACTTGGATGGAGGAAAGTGGAAAGGTACCATCTTGCTTGAAGGAAGCCTTTAAAAGAAAATTTAAAATTAAAGTACAAGGAAAAGAAAATTGGTAGAGATTTTGTATTAAATAGTTAATTATCTTTGTCAGGCCAGGTTGTATTCACCCACTTATTTAGGAGGGCAAGGCAAATAGATGGCTTGAGCCCAGGAGTTTTTTTTTTTTTGGCAAAAGATTTGAACAAAGATGAACAAATGTTGCTATAGATGTGGAGAAATGAGAGCACTTATACATTGTTGGTGGAACTATAAATATGTACAGGCATTATAGGAAATAGCATGGAGTTCCTTGAAAAAATTAAAAATAGAAGTATCACAATTCTGAAATATACTCAAACGAAAACATCAGAAAATGCTGTATTCCATAGTCACTGCAACACTATTCACAATAGCACAGATATGCAATCAATCTATGTGTCATGCTCAGAGAAATAAGATACAGTATATATGTACATATATATATATATATAATATAGCTCTAAAGAATATTTTACAGAATAAAATCCTGTCATTTGTGCCAACACGGAGGACATATGGTACACAATTTTAACTGAAATAAGCCAGACAAAGAGCCAAATATCTCACTCTGATGTGGAATTTGAAAAGCTGATCTTATAGAAGTACAAAGACCAATGGTTATCAGAGGCAAGGCAGGGTAGCGGGACAAGGATGATGAAGAGACTGGTCAATGGGCGCAAAATTAGTTAGAATAAGTAATAGTGTTCTATAGCACAGTAGGGTAGCTAGTCAACAATAGTATAGTACATAGTTCAAAAAGTGAGGAGAGGATTATGAAGGTTCTTGACAAAAAGAAATAGTAAGTGTTTGAGGTACTAGGTATACTAACTAAATACTGGGATTTGATGGTTGCATCATGTACACATTAATCAAAACCACACTGATTGCAGTAGTTTAAGTCTATAATCCTAACTAATCAATCTGATAATAAAATTTTAAAGAGAATATACTGAACTTGTTACACAACTATACTTCCCAAAGGACAGAAGGTGACAATTTTTCAAATAACAGATGGCACAGGTGAGATGAAGCACACCTGTAATTCAGCTTTCATAAGGTGGGGCCAGGAAGATCTCCAGTTCCAAACCAGCTTGAGCTATAGATCAACATCTTCTCTTTAAAAAACAAAACAAAAGTTAGGAACATAGCTCAAGTTGGCAGAGTGCTTGCTTAGCAGGCATGAGGCTCTAGGTTCAATTTTCACTACCACCAAAAAAATATACATATACATACATATATATATATATATATAAATTAAAACTTTTTAAGAAGAGGTGGAGTATAACAGATGGGACAAAATTAAAGTAACAGAAACATGATAGCCTCGTTGGGCCGTGTTTCCCATTGTCTTCATTAAGAACATCTGGTGCAAAGGAAGACAGATAATAAAGAGAAAATACTGACACCCCATGGGTGCAATTCTAGTTTTTAAGAACAACAAAATCCACATGTCAACATTAATTGTCCTTCCCTAGGGGAAAATGGAACAATACATGATCCAAAGAACCAAATAACACAAGCCAGTCTGCCTGGTCCCCAAAGTAATAACAGACTGAGTAAATCAGGAGGCAGGTAGGAAGCTCCTCCTTCTTATTCCACTTAATAGGAAAGGTTAGGAACATTTGAGGAAACTTGGTATACCTAATGTGGATTACCACTAATGAATCAGTGCTTAGAAAGAAAGAACCCAGTTACTTTTGCAATCTTCTAAATGTAAATAAACACCTATGTAGATTTTAGTCTCAGGACTTCAGATACTATTACCCTTGATTAAAAAAAAAAGATCTCCTATGCAATTAAAATAAGTGAAGGAAGAAATGGAACTAATATTTGCAAGTGCTTACTAGTATAAGTAGATCCTTTAGCATAATAATCCTATTTAACCTTTCACAGTAATCTGTAAAATAGAGACTTCCATCCCTGTTTTACATGAGGAACTGAAGCTTATTAATTAAGTTGATTAGGGAATCCCACCTTATATATGGAAGAACTGGCATATGTGCAATAATTTTCTTGATTCTGAAGACTATATTCTTTCCTCTCTTCCAAAGTACCTTTGCAAGTTAAAGTGAGTAGCTGTGAAAAAAATTATACAAGTATTTCTATGCTGCTGTGATGTCATGTGCCAGTCCTAGCCTTTGAGGGTTAGGTGAGAGGATAACTTGAGTCTACAAGTTTGAGTCCAGCTGGGGCAACATAGTGAAAACTAGTATTGAAGGAGAAATAATTCTATACCTGGTTTTCATCTGGGCCTTCCCAAGAGGATATACAGGTTGCATGGTATTTGGTGAATGATTTATGCAACTTAAATCCTCAATGTCCTAGAGAAATAAGAAAATATTACTAATGACAAAAAAACCGTTGAAACATGATTTAACCACATATTAATAAAATTACAGGCAAAATTAGATTAGTTATATTTGATGTGACAAGAGGTTAATAAAATTAAATGCTTGTGGTGCTGATCATTTTCACATGTTAGAGTCATTCTTCCTAAAAACGAATGTTGATTTCACGCAGTGAAATCTTTCAGTATATCTCTATTAATTAAGGAAAGTCCAGATTTTTTTTTAATGATAGGCTAATGTTTAATGTTCAGTAAATTGGACTTTACCTTAATATGTTTGTTGGAGTACATTCCCCGGAGAGGCTGAATATATACACACAAACACATAATTGCGTGCGTGCACACACACACACATACCAATGGCACATTAACAAAAGTTAATACAGTTATACAAAAGAAGAGGTATCCAAATTAAGCAAACTGAACAATTACAAATGTATCTGAATTCACCCCCAAGAAATCTAACACAGTTGTAAATCAAAGTAGAAACACAAGAAATGGGAAAGCACAGATTTTTATCTTACCATCTATCAATTTTAACTTCGTGAGCTCAGCAAGACATATAACAGTTCACAATCCTTATGATCCTCTTCCCCACATAAATGTGCTTCCCATGACACCACCTTAGCTGAATTCAGCAAGCCCTCAAAGAAGTCACTGAAATGTTCCCCAGAACAGCTAGACAAATCTGATCAAGTTATTCTCGAGATCCAGAGTCAAAGACCTCTATGATTCGATTCCTTTTTAGCCTTCCAACCATCCCCCCTACCTACTCACGCCAAAGGGAACTACTTGCAGTCGTCCGGGTCCAGTTAGCACAGGCTGGCCCTTTACTTGGCCTGTCCTGGTAAATGTCCATCCTCCTTCCCCATCCAACCCGAAGGTCCGTACCTCCTACCCAGGTTCACAGGATAGTGATCCGCCTCGCAGCTGACACCGTACTTCCAGGGACCTCTCCCCTCAACTTCAAAACACCATGCCAGGCACTGTAAGGCGATTCAGGATGTAAGTTCCCAGATTTCCACCGCGAAAAACTTTAAATGGCAGGTGCCCGACGGCTAACTCTTCCATACAACTCAATACACATAATGCCGAATGAGTGTGGGGTCCACTTACTGTCACCCACTAGCTCTCCATCTGTTCTCCGCCCCCGGGAGGAATGAAGTCAACCCACTACAGGGCCCCGAACATTTTACCCGCCGACCTTCCTCCGGTCCCACAAACGTCCTACTCACCGTTACCTCGCCCATATGGGGTGTGTTTGTTGGATCAAAACAGAGGTCGGCTCCTAAGGAGCAGCTCAGGTGGCCCGGGCCCCGCCTCAGATACGTTGGGGTCGCGGGAACCAAGGCGGCAAACACCGGCTCGAGAAACCGAAGGGCGCGCCGCCCCTCCTGACTGGTTGGAATCCCCGCCAGTCAGGAAGCAAGGGCGGAGCTAAAGGCGTCTCGTCAAGTCACCACAACGTGCTACTATGACAGCCAATCAGAGCTCTTCATAAGTTCCGCGCTCTACCAATCCCAAGGTTCTTAGGAGAGGTGAGGAGTTCCTGAATCAGTGTTCCGAGGATTTAAAACCTCATTGCGTCAACGGTTAAGTTCCGGGGTAAGGCGGGCTTTGCGCGCGTAGTACAAAGCCCAGCAGGCTGGATCAGGAGGGAAAGGAGGAAGTGCTGGCTGCACCGGTGCTCCCCGGACACGAGAGCTCGCGTTCTGGAGACGTTTCCGCAGCAGCTTTCCCACCCTCGCCTGCTCCGCAAGTCAGTGGTGCTTTTCCTCTCCGCTTTCTATTTCTCCCCACTGTTGCCTGTTATACTGAAGTAGGTCCTTTAAATACAGATAACATGAGCAGCTCGCCGGGCGCCAGTGGCCCACGCCTGTAATCCTGGCTACCCGAGGGGCTGAGGCTTTAGGATGTGGTTCGGTGACAGTCTGAGCTGGACAGTTCGTGAGACTCTATCTCCAATTAAGCGCCAAAAAGCTGGACAGCGCCCAGGCTCTTGAGTTCAAGCCCCAGGACCTGTACGAAATAATAAACAAAAAACAAACTGTCCCTGAACCCTTAAAAATGCCTTATAGTTGCTCGCTTCCCTTAAAGCCCTCTGCTTGTAATTCAAGTGGCAGTGTGACTGCTTACCTAGCCGGAGGTCCTGAGTTCAAACCCCCATACCGCCGGAAGGAAGGAAGGAGGAAGGGAAGGAAGAGAGGGGGTAGTGTTGCTGGTGGCTCACACCTGGATCCAAGTTTGAAGCCAGCCCAAGCAGATAAATACACTATTATCTCGCTGGAGGTAGCGTGAAAAAGCCAAATGAGAGCATGAGGTCCTGAGTGCAAGCCCCAAAGCTGGCACCAAAAATAAATGTAAAATGAAACGATTATTTTTATTTCTGAGTAAGAAGTGAGAAAGTGTCCTAAGGAAAAAGTGTGACTTACATTTTTAAACTACATTTACCTATCCTCTGTGTGTGTGTGTGTGTGTATGCACGTGTATGCACGTGCGCACACGGGCTGGTTCCGGGGCTTGGGCACTGTCCCTGAGGTTTTTTTTTGTTTTTTTTTTTGCTCAAGGCTAGCACTCCACCACACTCCTTCCGTCTATTTTGGTAGTTAATAGGCCACAAGAGACTCTGAGTAGCTACGATTACAGGCATGAGCCACCAGCATCCAGCTAGTGCTATATACTTAAATATCTTATACTTACCATGTACTTATACAATATGGAATATGTAGTATTGATATTTTGTGTGAATAATATATTGATATCAGTATGATCATTTGTAATTATCTTAATAGCTAATGTCGGTTTTGCTTTTGCTTTGTTTTTATTTTTTACTGAGACAGTCTTGCTATACAGCTCTGGCTGAACTTAAGATGGTCTTAAAATTGGAGTATTTGAATATAATCTATGCACAACTTTCACATATACTTTAAATAATTACTTACAATGACAAGTACAATGCAAATGGATACTGTATCATTTAGGAAATCATGACAAGGTTGGTTGAATGTGCATACTGCACCCTGAGGTTTCAAAGAACTAACTTATATAACTTATACTCAACAGGCAAATAGGCAAGTAGTTATTATTCTTATTTAACAAAAGATAAAAGGTCAAAGATCTCACAAGTTGTGTTGCATCCGAATTCTAAATGCCACTTACTTTGGTAAACACTCTATTTTTGTTCATTTCCTGAGCAATATGAGACTATCTTATAGTCTGTGCTGTGTTGTAGTATGACCTATTTGGAATAGGTGTCCCCTCTTGAAAGAGTGAAAATATACAAAAAAAAAGTCAAACTAGCCAAGAAAGATGTACTCTATAGACTATCATTCTCTTTCCTGGAAAATTTCTGAAATCTAGGAGAACCCCCCCCCCCTTTTTTTATTTTTGGTCAGTCGTTGGGCCTGAGCTCTGGGCCTGGGTGCTGTCCCTCAGCTCTTCAGCTCAAGGCTAGGGCTCTACCACTGGAGCCATAGCACCACTTCCAGCTTTTTCTGCTTATGTGGTGCTGAGGAATACTTACATCTGTACATCTCAAAACTGTTCAACTGGACATGGTAGTATACACTTATCATCCCAGCTATTTGGGAGGCTGAAGCAGGAGACTAGCTTAAGCTTAGGTACTGAGAGGCAGCTTCAGCAACATAGTAAGGGTCCATATCTCCTTTTTGAAAAAGTTAACTCATCAACGGAGAATCTGAAGAACTACCAAAGTCGAGAGAAGTCAAAGAGATAATGACAACTAAATCATGGATAGAGTCAAATCATTTAAAAAAGAGAGTAGTTAAAGCTAAAGAAGGCTATACAGAGACTTCAGTTAGTAATACTGGTTTATTAACTGTAAAAATATATGTATTAATATGTTTTAAAAAATAGAGGAATTTGTGCAGGAAGTATAGGCTCTACACTAAGTTCTCAATTTTTGTCTTTATTAGCTGTTTGAGACAGAATCTCACTACATAACCCATGCTGGTCTTGATTTTGCAGTGCTCTAGCTTCAGTCTCCTGAATGGTGGGATTATAGGCAAGTACCACCATGCCTAATTTTAATTTTCCAGTAAATCTGAAGCTATTCTGAAAGACTAGGAATATAGCTCAATGGTATTGCTATTCATCTTCTAGCCAGGCACTTGTGGCTCACACCTGTCACGAGGCTGAGATCGGAGATCCGGTTCAAAGCCAGCCAAGGCAGGAAAGCCTGTAAAAATCTTAGCTCCAATAAACTATTCAGAAAAGTCACAAGTGGAGCTGTGGCTCAAGGGGTAGACGACCAACCAAAAAAAAAAAAGCATATCACCCAGGCCCTGTGTTCAAGCCCCAGGACCGACACACACGCGCGCACACATACACAATCTTCTAAAAATAGTTTCTTAGAAGAAAGAGAGGAGTTGAAACACATACTTTTTTGAATAAACTAATAAAAATGCTGGTATCTTCCCATACCAGCATCCTTCAGCTAAGCATTTCATTAACACATGATTCCAATCAAGATATGCCTGTAATTCTATGCATAAACCCTTTGATCAGAATAAAATCAGTTATTGGTTTTATATTCTGGTTTTATACCTGTTATTGGTTTTATATTCTGGTTTTATACCTAAGAGGCAACTGAAAAAGTATGTAGATCCATATATTTATTTTCTTCAAATGCAACAAGTGTTTGAGGATCTGCCCTAATTCTGCCATTTACTCCATCTAAAACTGATTTTTCTCATTTTATACTGTACATTATCATAAGGTTAATACATGAGTATTGGAGTTAAAGAATATGCCCCAATATTATTACTACTCCAGGCTTACTGACAATTAACATTATTAATAAGGAACATTGAATGCCTTACATTCAAAGAGAATAAGAAAACTGATTTGGTAAGCTTTTAGAAAAAGCATGTTTTGAAATTTACAAATGCTAAAGAACCTATTACACATAATTTTGTTCTAGATAATATTGAAAGGACATAACAAGAATAGGATAAGGAAGGTACAATTTTATAGGGTAGGTAATTATCCAAAGCAAATATGAAGTGACTGTTAGACTGCTGGCCAGGTTAAACAAAGTGAATATATACCATGCTATTCTTTGATCCTTGTATACATATATTTCTACATCATTTCAAGATACTGTAGAATTGCTGTAGTTAATTTGTTTCACAGAAAACTACTTCAAATGTGTCATACTTTTTAATAATGTATGAATTTGAGCTGGTTTGTAATTCAGTGGTTGAGCTCTTTTCTAACATGAGTGAGGCCCTGGAGTCAATCCTTGCATAATAATAAAAACTAAATAAAATGTAAAGCATAGTTTTATTCCATTAATTGGCTGCACAATGTTTAAAAAATTTATCCACAATTTTACATCTCAACTGCTATAGATTGTCCTGCCCAAAGTCTTTTTTTTTTTTTTTTTGCCGGTTGTGGGGCCTGAACTCTGGGCATGGGCACAGTCCCTCAGCTTTTCAGCTCCAGACTAGCACTCTACCACTTGAGCCACTGCACCACTTCTGGTTTTCTGAGTGGTTAATTGTAGATAAGTCTCAGGGACTTTCCTGCCTGGGCTGGCTTTGAACTTTGATCCTCAGATCTCAGCCTCCTGAGTAGCTAGGATTACAGGCTTGAGCCACTGGTACCGGGCTCCCAAATTCTTATGTTGACATCTTTACCACCAAAGTGACAGTACGTGGTAGAGCTTTTGGGAGGTGATTAGAATGTGAGAGTGGAGTCTTCATGAGTGAGGTTAGTGCCCTTATAAAAGACACACACACACACACAGACACACACACACACACACACACACAGACACACACACAGACACACACACACACACAGACACACACACACAGACACAGACACAGACACACACACAGACACACACACACACACACAGACACACACACACACACACTAGGTTCTTTGCCCTTTTTCATCATGTGAAGTCACAAGAAGATAGCTGTTTGTGAAATGGGAAGCAGGCCTTCACTAGTTTCCTAGCACCTTGATCTTCAATTTCACCATTTCCACAACTATGAGAAATAAGTTTCTCTTGTTTAAAAGTTACCCAGTTTATAGCATTCTGTGGTAGTGATTCAAATGGAGTAAGACAATATATACCATTTTTTTTTTCTTACCCTTTTTCAGTACCTATTCAGGTACTGAACTGTCCAGAACCTGACAGGTTCTTCATGCATACATCAGGTAAATCTTCAGTGTTATAAACCCTGATGGTGTGTACTGACAGACGGCCTGTAAGGATTAAAGATCTATTGTTACACCAGGAACAAGGAAGTTGAAATCAGTTATTTCTCTTTTTACCTACTCTCTTCCTTATTTACTGTACTAAGTTTCTCCAAACATCCAACTTTTCCTCTTTCAGTTACACTTCTGAGTTATACTACTGCTTTTAAAAAACAAGCACAGCTTTGCTTTAAAGGAATATGTCAACTTATGGAAAACTCTTTTTAGATATTTATAACACACTGGTAACTTCTCTAAAACTATTTGCTGAATTGAGTTCATATGCCATCATCCTGACAAGAAAATGGTAGGTGGGCAGACCTACCTAAGCTTGACAAGTCTTAGGGAGTAATGATGCTATGAGATTAGTTTAAATCAATGTCTCTTCACTGGTCAGCCTGATTTCTGCAGTATGGAAGTGACTTCCAGGAAGGTAAGTCTGTCTTCTGTTGACAGACTTGGCATACCAGATTTTCAAAGATATGTTTCCCTTAACTCATGCTCTCAGAATCATTAATACAGCCTTTC